ACATCACATTTATTAGCCAGTAGACATGTGCAAAGTTTCAGAAACGGGCATAGTGCAAGGACTAAATAGCGCCACCTTTTGACAAAAGTGGGGTTGTTAGTTTTATCTACAGTTTACAAAATCGCTATATACATTGTACTCCTCAAGCCGGACAACTTTCTAATACATAGTCATTAGCTCGGACCAAGAGGAAGTCAGATATTTTGGTTTGAATATGGTGAGCCTCTCTCTGAGCCTACGTCCCTGTATGGCAAGCCCTTTAACATTTAAAGCTAAGTTTGCCTGTCCGGAATTAACATTGTAGATATCATCAACGTCTTTCTGTCTATTCGTAATTACATCTTGGATAGTTTGTATTATCATTTAAGATATCTGTAACATAATTGTGACTAGTTGAAAATGACAGAGTATGGCAAGCCGTTTTAACATTTAAAATCATAAAGGGCCAAAGCCTTCGGCACCGCCACCCGGGTGCATTTAGGTAACTAAAGGAACCGGGGTTGCGGTGCCACCGGCTTGGGCCCGCCATCCGCTGCTCGCAGCTATATTTATTATTATTATTATTATTTTCTTACGACTATTCGGGCACTTTTGGGGCCTTAACATGCTCGAAAACTCTTGAAACTTTGCACACGGGTCAGAACCCGCGGCCATCAGAGCCGGGCTGAAGATGGTACCTGGGCGTGGCAGGGGGGCTCGTCAGCGCCCCCTGGAATGGGGTCCGAACACTTGGTCCATAACTCAAACACGCTTGCATGTAATAATATGAAACTCGGTACGCATGTTGATCTCATCGTTTCATCTATACCTCACACTCTTACTTTTTACCCCAGCCCAACAGGAAGTCGGCAATTGAGGTTTGTTTGTAAAACGCTCGCAATGGTATTTGAAATACTCCTCCTAGAGCTTTGATCCAAATTCGACAAAACTCGGTCAGCATGAAGTCAAGACATTGAGGATGAAAGTTTGTGTGGGGATTTTTGATATCTCGAACGGTTTGGCCGTGGCGAGGAAACGAAATCATGGCGAGAAACGTGAAACAGGAAGTTTGTTATAACTTCAGCATACATTAACTGATCTTGATGAAACTTCAGCGGTATGTTCGCTGTAAGAGGACGATCACATGGATGTGACTATTGTGAGTCAAAGTTATAGCGCCACCAACTGGCAGCAGGAAGTGTGTCACTTTCAAAATGCTTTGATATCACCCTTTTATTTTTACCCGATTTGCTTCAAACTTCATATGTATAATGTAAACATACGGCAGATGTAGACCTGTGAATGGATTCTTGATATCTTTGAAACTCTTGCCGTGGCGACGCATCAAACTTTACCCTTCTTTTAGGATGCTTTTAGGATGCTTTTGAGACCCTTAGCATGCTTTAAATTGCATGAAACTCGACAGACACATCACATTTATTAGCCAGTAGACATGTGCAAAGTTGCAGAAACGGGCGTGGTGAGGGCTCAGTAGCGCCACCTTTTGACAAAAGTGGGGGTTGTTAGTTTTATCTACAGTTACAAAATCGGTATGTATATTGTACTCCTCGAGCCGGACAACTTTCTAATTGACACTCATTAGCTAGGACCCACAGAAAGTCAGATATGTTTGTTTGAATGTAGAGAAAATCTCAGAATTTTGCCAGTCTCTCAGTGTCTCTCTGTGTGAGTGAGAGGAGGGGCGCCTGTCAGGTTAATTTTAACCCTTTATTTGCTGTGTGCGACTTCTCTGGCATTTTCGGGGGCCTTAACATCCTCGAAAACTCTTGAAACTTTGCACACGGGTCAGAACCCATGGCCATCAGGGCCGGGCTGAAGCTGGTAACCGGGCGTGGCAGGGCGGCTCGACAGCGCCCCCTGGACTGGGATTCGAACATTTGTCCATAAATCAAACACACTTGCATGAATTAATATGAAACTCGGTACAATTATAGATCACATCAGGCCAAACAACTTTCGTGCTCTAAGTTTTATGACAGTTCAAATGGAAGTTATTTATGAATTATGAATTATGGGTTGTTTGAATAATTGTCCTAGGAGAAATACATCAAATCACAATGCATGTGTTTACCAATCACAACCAAACTCGGTGTGCATGAAGTCAAGACATTGAGGATGCTCAATTCCGGACGGATTTTTGATATCTCGAACGGTCTGGCCGTGGCGAGGAAATGAATTTTATGACTAAAAAAGGACACATAAAGTGTGTTATAACTTTGCTCAATTTACCTACAGTTACAAAACTTACCACGTATATTGTTCTCGTCAAGCCGATCAACTTTCCAATTTAAAGTCATTCGCTCTGAGCAACAGAAAGTCAGATATTGTAGTTTGAATGGATTTATTTCCCCTGCGATTCTCTCTCTCTCTCTCTCTCTCTCTCTCTCTCTCTCTCCTCTCTTCTCTCTCTCTTCTCTCTCTGTGTGTGTGTGTGTGTGTCTGTGTGGGGAGGGAGGGCTGTTGTCTGTGTTTATGTGTGTGTGTGTGGCTGGCTGTGATTTTCCTACAAGTCCTTGTTTCTAAGTCCTTTTCTTTTTGCATAACAATTTTGCATAACAATATTTTTAAATGACAAAATAGGCATATAACCCCATCTTTTAAATGTATAGATTGCTTTAAATAAAGTAAGATTGTATTTGTAATTGAAGTTGAATGAATTTAAAATTCATGTGCTATATTTCAATATATTTGTTTTCCTTAAGATTTTAAAACACTAACTTCATTCTTCTTATCTGAATTACAAATATTTGTTTCTGTATAAAATAATACTCTGACTAAAAACACATTTGATGTTTTTTTTTTTGGTATTTTTATTTACATGTATTTATGTGTGTTGTGTGTGTGTGTGTGTGTGTGTGTGTGTGTGTGTATAAAGTGCAGGGTTTTTTTTTAGATAAAGTAGAATTTCTATAACTATGTGTTGAACTAATGAATCACTCTCGTGTGTGTTAAACACAATCTACTTAATACAGACAACTTCATTATAAAGATAAATAACAAATCCAAAAAATATATGATTATAATCTATGACAAAAAAAGCCATTACAAACTATATTAATGGAAAATACACATTGCTCTTTGTATTGTTGTAAAATATTCATGAAAAACAAGATAACAAAAATCAAAAAGATAAATTATTTTAGATATAGCCATGTTTTAAATGTATAGCAGAGATGTTAATTGAGACAGCAACATACAAACTTTCTAGAACAACATGGACCTGGATAGCTGGTTTTTATGGAGGACAGTGAAGAGGAAGAGGGTGCAAATCAAACAGCTCATTCTCAGACTACACAGCAAACAGCTTAAGTTTTTAGTGCTTTGTTTGAGGTTTTTAGTGCTCTGTCCTATCTGTTATCAACATATAATAGATGGAACAGAACAAGAAAGGCAATTAATAATCTGTCATTGCGTCACTGCATTATGATATGAAAGGCTCAGTACAGTGTGGCACAAAACGCTTATGCGCATCCCGAGTGGAGAATGATGCGCTTAAAGCCACATGGGGTTACAGCGCACAGCGCATCGAGTCCGCATTGATGCAAGCTCTACAATACACTTCTTTTTGATAGTCAAAGCGGGGGTTACGTTTTTACACGTTGTACAGAATAACCCTAAAGGCACCAAGGTGGCGGTGCCACCGGCTTTATATTAAATATAAATATAGCTGTGAGCAGCGATAAAGGGCCAAAGCCGGCGGTACCACCATCCCGGTGCCTTTGGGTAACTAAAGGCATCGGGGTTGCGGTGCCACCGGCTTGGGCCCGCAATCGCTGCTCGCAGCTATATTTTTGTTATTCTGTTTGTTCTTTTGCTTATGTGTCAGTCACTACAACTACAAACAGATGTCAAAAAATACCAAACGAACGCTCACATTTCCCCTTTTCCTCTCATAATCTCTCCTGGTGTTCATTCCTCATTGTCTTTTGTCTGTATTCCATCTCTCCCTCCTGAAATCTGTTTTCTCTCACAGGTCATATTGCTCCTATTCAACACAATGCTTACACGTTTCTCAGTCCCATCTCTTCGCCACCCAATCTGTGGTTGGGTATGTTAACAAGCACAGCTCTCACCCAATCAAAACCTTCAGGCAGTCACTAAATTGCTCGTGTATATGGTGAACTGTTTAGGGTCCCGTCATGTGGTATTGATGGTGAATTGTTTATTTAAAGGGATAGTTCAAACCTGTAAGACTTTCGTTCATCCTCAGAACACAAATGAAGATCTTTGAAATAAAATCTGAGAGCTGTCCATTGACAGCTACGCAACTACCACTTTGTAGCTTCAAAAAGTTCATAAAATGATTGTTAAACTAATCCATATGAAGTGAGCGGTTTAGTCCAAATTTTCACTTTAAATGATGAACAGATTGAATTTAGGCTTTTATTCACATACCTCATTGGTTCTTACACATCACGCGAACATGCGCTTCCGTTTACCACAACTGATGTGTGCCTTGATGAATGATTTAAATGTGAATAAAAGCCTAAATTCAATCTGTTCATCATATAAAGGTATCAGAAAATTTGGACTAAACCGTTCAATTTATTTAGATTAGTTTTACAATCTTTTAAAGCATCAGTTTCAGTTGTCTATGGAGGGACAGAAATCTCTCAGATTTCATTAAAAAGATCTTCATTTGACAGACGACAGTCTTTAAGGTTTAACGTCATGGAGGTGAGTTATTATTGACAGAATTTTTATTTTCGGGTGAACTTTCCCTTTAAGGATGTGTATTTGGTGAGTGGCTGAAGGTTTTATGGGTTTGCTGTGTAGAGTAACTGCAGCTCCCCCTAGCAGTGCTCTGTAGTTCCTGTGTCTACTCTAGTCTGAGTCACATGCTGTGATTGTTTTTTATTTATTTATTTTTTTTAGATCATATAGTGCTTAAGTTGGCACAGACATCTGTGACATTTTGAGTGTGACATCCTCTGTGCTTGCTTGAAGCAAAATCAGCATAATTCTGCATAATTACTTTTGTGCTGTGTGTGTATTCTCAGGTCCCACAGTCCTGGAGGTGTTTAACACCCTGCTGAAGCATCTGCGTATGAGTGTGGATTTTGAGCTGGGCGACGGTTCCCGCAGGAACTCCGCGAGTAGCCTTTCCTCCACCCGCACCAAAGAGAGCGAGGAGCGGATCGTCCAGAACGCCATCATCCAAACAATCGGTGACAGCTTCATGTGCTCACTAAGATCTGACCTTTTGTGATGCTCAAACACTGAACAAATTCAATAAAATGGATTCATGTGTGTGTCTAGGTTTCTTTGGAGGAAATCTTCCTGATTACCAGAGAGCAGAAGTGATGATGTTCATTATGGGGAAAGTGCCTGTTTACGGCACGCCGTGCCACACGCTGGACACCGTCAAGATCGGGTAGGACAGTGTGATTCTACATTTGTCATTACCGGCAGCAGTAGTGTTTGGAGACAGTTTCTTAAATCCATGATAATTGCTGATTGCTAAACTGACACATGCACATTTGCAACATGCAAAGTTTGTCTTCAGTGAGTATAAATAGGCAGGATTTTACAGATCTGAAGAACTTCACGCACTGTTTATTTCATTGTTTAGTTTTTTATTTTATTTTTCTATTTCTTTTTTTCTTTTTTATTGTTTATTGTACAGCATTACAGTTTACTTGTCTTGAATGACTTTAAGTAATGTCCAAGACTTTAGATAGGTGCACTCATATTACTATAAAAGCCAAATATGGCGGAATAAGTCCCACTTTCTAAATAAAAACTGGTTAAGTCATTGTGTCACTGCAGCTGCCGTTTGATCAATTTTTTTGTCATGATTTGAGCATTTAGAAACTAAATTTATTAGACCGTTGTTGTGAGGTTTAAAATTTTTGACTTTTGGTGAACAGCTTTGGAGAATTGTATGTTTCCCCATTCAAAGAGACATACAAAATAAATAGCTGAAAAATAGCTGCTCGAGAGAAGGGTGTATGCCATAGTTTTTTTATGTAATTTAATAATATCTGTTAATATTTTTTTTTATAATATTAAAAAAAAAATTAAAGCTGCTTTTTTTGGGGTTAAAAATGATCCAAAATACATTTTTTGAGAAAATACACAACAACCAGCCAGTGTTAAAAACTATCTGCTTCTTTAGCTCGATTCAAAGTGGTAAGCTTGTAATAATGTTTTTAATTCCAGTGGTACTGGTGGATTTCCGCGGGATATTCGAGCATGTCTTTGCGTCATTACGTCACATCTGTACACATAAAGAAGGAGTCTCGGCTAGTAGGCTCTATTGTGTGCGAGGATGCTGGAGGTGGAGATTTATAGCCTTTTCTCACAGCACTTGATATAATTATACATCAATTTGATGGCGGATAAAGAAAGGTTCAAACGACGATCACCAGTGACAACTAGAGATTCACCCGCTGTAAAATGTAAAAGACTTCATTTGGACTTTGGAGTGGCTACAGAAAAAGAGACTGCAACCCCATCCATGCGAAAACAAGGATGCATATCGGAAGGATATAACTTTAACGATTTGAGAACAATATCACCAGATTTAATTTTGATACCATCTAAACAAATTATGTCAAATAAATACTCTTGTATGCATGTCATTTTTTTTTATGAAAAACACGCACAGATGCTAATTTCAACATTCCCCTTGATGTAGCACTCCATTCGGGCACTATTCATACCTTTTATTCCAGTGTACTGTGATTGAAGACTGACTTATCCCAGTCTAGTATGCATTGTGTATGTAAAAATTGAAAAAAAAAAAGAAAGTGAAGTATTCATATTGAAGATTTTGAATTCTCTCTTCCTTTCTCAGGCATCAGGGCACTAAGAGAATCCAGATGATGCTGTTAAGTTCTCTCATTATGGTAAATCTCTAATCTTTTCTGTGTGGGTGTGTGGTCCTTGTAAAACCCTACATTAAGAGGACAAAATGTCTCCACAAGGATAGTAATACCAGAAATCTTTGGCCTTGTGGGGACATTTTTTGGTCCCCATGAGTAAAGCAGCATATTAAATTATGTTTTGAAAATGAAAAAATGCAGGAAGTTTTCTGTTAGCATTGTGTTTAGGGTTAGAGGATAGAATATACAGTTTGTACAGTATAAAAATCATGGAGTCTATTGAAAGTACCTATAAAACATCCAATCCCAACATGTGTGTACTGTAAGGTAGTAAAGATATAGGAAAACTAAAATTAAAATTCAGTAATTTGAATAGGAATCCACGCTATTATGAATTTTGCATGAGGATGAAAGATTTCCCCAAAAAGTTATTTATCCTCCTCAGGCTTTTATCAGGCATAACATCAGAATGAAGATTTTAGACTTTTAGACCGCACTCTCCTTAAATGAGTTTCTGAAGGTATCCTAGACAGCAGACTGCACAGATCATAACATCAGATTGCAGCTGCCTGTGGTGCTTTGTGTCCTTTTTCTTCTTTTTTTGTAATGTCCAATTTTGTCTTTAGTCTGGTTTATGGCTGGCTTTCGACAGGGCAACTTTTCAGGCACCGTTGCCCGGCAACAGGCAGTAAAATGGGCCGCAGGTTGAGGCGTATGATTGTTATTTTGGATGTCAACAGCTTTTGCTCTCCATCTCCCACTGCTGGCCATTTCCAGAAGTGTGACAATGTGTTTCTAGTTACTGGTGTGTGTGTGTATAGGTTCTAGTTGTGGGGGTGCTCGTCATATCTGATGGATTCTTTGTTTGTGTAGGTTACGTCCGGGTTTAAGTGTAAAACGATCTGTGCTGGCCTGCCTGCAGCATTTCTGGAGCCGTTGTGCTCCATCTCTCTGATGGAAGACAGCGAACTCCGGCAACTCGTCTTGGAGATTCTGCACAACATCATCGATCGCCATGACAACAGAGCCAAGCTCAGGGGGATCCGGTATGAATGCTCAACTAACACCCTTAAGTGAAAGTGTGGAAACTAAAGTTAATGTGCTAACGCCTGTGATTAAATTTAATAATTTAAGACTTTAATAATTTATCGCTTCTCAGTAAGCGATTTCTGAGAAGCACTTGATATTTGAAAACCAAAATAATGCTTCATTGACCAAAATAATGCTTCATTTTCGGGTCTTCCTGGTCTCTCCAGTGCTGGAAAGCTTTTCTAATATTAAAGCTCTTGCCTTATAATAATAACCCCTCTTTTTCCACTGATATTCCTCTGAGCGTTTCTCTTTTGTAATGTCTCTCAGCCATGTCTCTTTCTACAGTCTATCTTCAAATCTCCCTCTTGCTCGCTCTCTCCTCCCCCATCATGAGTGGACACGCCCCTTACTGCTGATTGGCTACAAGTGTGTTGTGGCACTTTCAACAGCGTTTCACTTACTATAATGCTGTAAATGCATTTTTTTCAATTTGACATAACTGTTTCATTTTTTATGTGTGATATGTAAAGCCTGATTGAAACTGAGTGGAACTGCTGTGCATCTTCACTTACTCAATTCTTAGTAACCCTTTACTAGTTTCTAAATGGGTTATTTTGTTATAGAATTGATATCTTTTTACGGTTTATTATTGAATTATTTTAAGTTTAAGTTTTTCCTCTAATATATATATATATATATATATATATATTTATTTCAAATAAATAAAATTGAGTGTGTGTGTGTGTGTGTGTGCAGGATTATTCCTAATGTAGCTGCTCTGAAGTTCAAAAGAGAAAAAATCTCCAAACAGGATGTGGTTTTCATGAAAAAGGTACAAGATACAAATGCACACAGACATCACAACCACACACATCTAGAACCTCAGCCCTAAACTGTTGCTCTTTCACCCTCCAGCATGGGCAGCAGTTATACAGACACATCTATCTGGGCTGTAAGGAGGAAGACAACGTGCAGAAGAACTTTGAGCTGCTCTTCACAGCTCTGGCTCTGATCACTATTGAACTGGCCAATGAAGAGGTGGTGATTGACCTCATCCGCCTGTCCATCGCACTACAGGTATTCGATTACATTTATAGATTTAGCAGATGCTTGAATCCGAAGCGACGTACCAGAAGCAATTAATCTGAGATTTCAGATTTGTTATGCTAATCTCTGTGCTTTGATTGGCTGAAGGACATGGCCCTGGTCAATGAGGAGAACATGCCCATGTTTATTCGCTGTGGCGTCATGGCGTTGGTCGCCGCATACCTCAATTTCCTCAGTCAGATGGTTGCAATTCCCCTTTTTTGCCAACACGTCAGCAAGGTAAATATGGCACACACACATACTCATACACCCTACATACAAATTCCTGTAACTCCTTTTCTTCCTGTCAGGTGATTGAGATGAGAAATCTTGATGCTCCGTACCTTCTGCCTGAACACGTTTTTAGAGAAAAGTGTGTGTGAGTATTTCTGTGTAAATGTGTTTTTCCTCAGAACTATATCTGTTTTAAAGATAATTGCAACTTTTATCTCACAATTCAGAATTTTTTCTCACAATTGCGAGATATAAACTCGCAATTCAGACTTTTTTTATAAGTTTATATCTGGCAGTTCTGACTTTTTTTCTCAGAATTGTGAGATATAAACTCACAATTGCAAGTTTATAGCTCACGATTCTTATTTTATAACTTGCAATTCTCACTTTATAACATGTAATCGCAAGTTTATATCACACAATTTTGCAAGATGCATATTCGAATAGAATTAATTAGTCACGTTACCATTTTTTATTCTGTGGTGGAAACAAGCTTTCATAGTAACAGCCTATATGAGAGATTTTGTTTTGATTTTGTCAGTATCAGTTTATATTGTATAATTAATTAAGAAGATTTTTTTACATTTAAAATACCTTTGCCGTCATATAACCCTCTGAAGTTAATCTTTAAAAATATTAATTATTTAAGAACAACGTTAAATGTAATCTTTAGCTGATCTCAAAATAAAGATCCATTTTTCATGCTAAATTCTCATACAGCCTTTAAAAAGATTGATTTTAGATGTTATAATAAATAATAATACTGGCATAACTCATTCCAGACGTCTTTTCTTGTGCGTATCTGTTTGTTTGTGTGCGTGGATCAGGTTCCCAGACTCTTTGGAGCGGGACGACATTGCTTTGTATTTTCAAACAGCTGATCTGGCGGAAGCTCTGACTCTACCCGGATATAACGTAGAGAGACTGGCTATACCGTACATACCCCAGGTTACAGGTAAACACATACTATTCTGCACTACACAAAATGGAGACGTTATCTAATTTAATCTCTGTGTATTTATTCAGTTGAAGTCAGTTCAGAGTTGATTCAGCTCAGTTCAATAACTGTGAGAAGTTCATCAGTTGTAATAAATTATTATTAAGAAGCTAAATCAAATGCTTATTATAATGCTAAATTAACAAATGTTTTTTTCATAATCATTTATCAAGGATTTGATAAAAAAATGTTCATGTTCTGTTCGGTTTATTTCTAAAGTACATTTAAAAACAGCCACCGGCCGACCAAAGTGCTGTACAATAAAAGCATTAGGGTGCACAATAAATAAGCATCCTAAAATTAGAATCAGCATAAGAACCAGATAGATATACACATTAAAAGCCAAGGGAAAAGATGAGTTTTAAGACAGGATTTGAACTCAGATCTCTGGAAGCCATTCTAATGTGATTTGGTACGCTATTCTCAAATCAAATCACTGTGGGTAAAATGGTCTCGTCCTGTTTTTTGTTTTGTTTTGTTTTTTCCCAACGGAAATGTCACATCATGAAAATAAAATGGTTGTAAATCCAATTTCATGCTAGTTGTGTCCCAAATGACACACTATGCACTTTATGTACTTATGCACTATGTACTCACCTGGGTAGTGTTCGAATTTTATATGGTTATTTTGTCATTGAAAATCAGAGTCTGATGCCTCCGATGCCCCTCCGCTTCCTAATGGGCTATATGTATGCAAAAGTTCCACATTTTGACGCAAGGATGCTCTACAGTTTCCGGTTGGGGAGATTAAAGCGGTTTAATTAAAGATTAAAGTCTCATTGACTTCCATAGTAGATATACTATGAAAGTCAATGAGACCAGGAACTGCCTGGTTACTGATATTCTTCTAAATATCAGAAAGTCGGCTGAACACATTCGAAAACGGTAAAACCCAACTGTTTAACTCTGGGGGAGTGGTAAAATGAGCCTATTCCCAAAAAAAGTGGAGTATCCCTTAAAATATGTCATATAATTGTGCATAAGTATATGAATTGGGACGCACCTACGGTCTTTAAACAGTTACCTAAAGCTGGAATGCACTTTGTGACTTTTGCCCAGATTTTGGCTAGATGCTGAAAGTCAGAGCCAGTCTGCAGATAGAAAATCTGCAGTGTATTATGGGCACAGACTCTTCTTTTAGCTTCAGACTTTCACTACAACAGTTGGCCAAAAGTACCCGAATGACCTACTACTACTGTTGAGATTCTGAAGTGCGCATTTGATGGACGCTTTACTATCCCATGAGGCCAGTGAAGCAACTCCCATCATATGTCACATGACAATGACAACATACTATTCATACTACACACATTCATACTATATAGAAAGTATTTTTTTAATGGTTACGAAGAAAGTTTCAAACCAAATGTAGGGCCTACTATACAGACTATTTCATTTTTAGAACACATTTTTTTTCATTTGTCACGTGTCTCTTAGAAGAAGAGGTGCGTTTCTTCATGAGTTTGTTCTGTTTGGATTGGAACAACCTGAACATTTGGTAGTGTGTGATCCTCAGTTGTTTAGTGCATGATGCCCAGTTTTTCTTTGTTAACATTTACAAAGTGAGCAAGTATATGATGCCTAGTGTTTTAGATTTTTAAAGTTGTGTTGTGTTTTACAGCCAGGAATCTAAAATCAATCACCAAGTCCCTTGCAACAGCAATGCTCTCAATTAAACTTCTGAAACAATAGTTTTACTGCTGATACTAACTCCTGAAGATCTTTCCCTCTTTCACATGTGAATTCACCTGCTTCTTTCACTTTTGCCTTTTCTCTGCCTGTGTGTGTTTGCACTGCAGTCCTGTACACGGTAGGAAAGATTCTGCACAGATGCAAACAGGCATCCAGAGGTACTATCATTGAGTTAGTGAGGTCTCCTCTCAGTGTGTGGATAGTAAGAATATGTAGTTAGGTTCTCCCCTGTTCAACCGTAAGTTTACCACAGCTGCAGATGCAGACCTCCCGTCCTCCGTAGCATCCGTACTAGATTTCCAGTAGCTCCTGAATGTGGTGTTTGATAACTCAACAGTGGAGTGAAGTATAAGTGCGATGTGTCATGTGATAAATCAGTCCTGTTTAATTGATTTGGTGTTTTGAATGCTGCTGTCGTCTGGACTGTGTTACTGGTAGGTCAAAGAGAGACACGCACCAGTTTGAGCTCACAGTTTAGAAGCTTGGGTCTCTGGGAGAGTGCTGATGAAGCATCATTTGACATTTTATTGGCCTTTATGGACCTCACTTTCTTCCAATCTCAGTAGACCTACTGCACTCGAGAAACCCTTTGAGTTGGGGGTTTAGTTTACCTATAAATATATGGTCAAAGATTCCTCTTTTTTCACATTTTAAGTGCTGATTTGTGTGGAAAACAGACTAAAAGTACACGCTAATAAATATTTAGCTTGTTTTTAAAGGTAATGTGAGATGACACTCTTATCGGTTTATTTCACGTTAACCCAAACCACACCTATGAGTAATGTAGCTACTTCAGACCAACATATTTTAGAGATCCGCCCACAAAGTTACTTGCGTTTGATACTTGCGTTTCAGGTAAAAAATATGAGCCCTATACGTTTGTCCTCATATGTTCATCCTTAATATAATGCAGTTATGAGGATAAAAAAAGAAGCATGCAAGGAATCTTTTAAAGGAACATGAGTGTCTATAGTTTTCTGAAATGGTTATATGGAGTTTGTTTATTTCTGATGTGACATCAGCACTCTCGCCCTGAAACTCTTACTCATGAATTATTCTTTTGAAACTTATGTTGCTGTGATTTCTGTCTTTGTTTGAGTGATTTGCATTTTCTTGTGTTTAATAATGCTTTCATGCTGCTTTGCCTGAACTTTACATTCATTAAACATGAGTAGGCAGTGAGAAAAAAGAGAGGGATATTCACCTCCCTTTATAAATAAGAGGCTAATTAAACCCATATATCATAGATGCGGATACTGGGTTTAGTTTAGCTCAAATCAAGGCCGAATCCGTGCATGATCAGAAATATTTGAGTCCTCAAAGCTTTGACTATTTATACATCACTGATTTCTGACCCACAGATGAAGACCGCCTGCCCCGTAGGAAGAGTTTTGTCGACACTATTTCTCTCCAAGTTGACATCATTTCCAACAGCTTACCTGATCAGGTACACTGGGAAAAAAAACATAAATGAACACAATTTAAACACGTTTGAATCATTTTTAAGAATTAGAACATATTTTTGTTTTTATCCTACAGTCTCAGCTTGCAGAGGAAATCACGTTTGAGACCCTAAAGAAGGCCATCGGTATGTGTGAAGCAGTATCTTCTCAGGGTTGGTGTGTGTCATATGTGTGTTAATGTCTGATGTCGCGCCATCTCTCTCAGATACCACTGGTCTGGAGGAACAAGAAAGGGAGAGGAGACGGCAGGTGATGGAAAAGTTCCAGAAAGCTCCGTTTGAGGAGATTGCAGCCCACTGCGAGTCCAAGGTACAGCTTGTGTGTGATCTGCCGATCTGTCTTTCAGACTCTTTACTTTTAAAACAACACTAGGGATGCACCAATATGGACATTTTGGCTGATATAATAACTGATAATTATTTGGTAACGCTTCCTTTTACAGTCCAGTTACCCATGTAAATACTATGTACTTATTTTAGTAACTACAATTACTGGGTAATAACTAGTACTAACCCTGAACCTACCCCTAAAACTACCCCTGTTCCATGTACTTACCTTATCTTAGCCAGTACTTTCTAGGTAAGTACACTGCAAGTACTGTACTGTAAAAGGAAGCGTTACCAATTATTTATTGTTGAAGAGCAATAACAATATTTTTTGGACAGTAATATATTTATACAGTATATATAAGTATAAGTTAATGTTTAATTATATTTTATAAATATTTATTCCCAAATAATAACTAAAGGTAGTAACAGGCAGTGTCTCCCTTGCCTCTCATATACTGAGATATATATATATATATATATATATATATAATGCCCCTGATATAGACCTTATGCACCAGAGAAACGTGGGCGCCGTCATCTTTAGAATATTGTCTTATTATATTATATATATATATATTTCTATGGCACCGCTGTCGAGGAGTAATTAGCTGGTGAAGTGGATTTACTTATTGTAGTTAACAAAAGTTATCATGAGCATTGAAATGTTTATCATAAGCATAGTAAAACAGATGTCTTAACAAATGTCGACCGGAAAATTTTTTTACGAGCAGTTCATTCATACCTATGCAGGATCGCTGTCAAAATACAGACGTCGGAAGTCAAAAGACGAGCGCAGCACTGAAAAGGGGCGGGGCTACATAAGGTCTATACAATATACAAGCCATTTTGTTCATACAGTACAAGTGAAATCGTGATAACATACAAAAAATAAGGAGCCATTTCTGTAAGATTGTGCATTACCTCCTCTCATGTGACTTTCCCTCATCCATTCACAATAAATCCCCCACCCAACTGCTGATGTGACATCCCGCTGTAATGTTATCTGCGGGTGTCGCCGTTGGACAGTGTTACTTCAGCAAAACGAGTGATTTATACACTCTTTTTTTAGTTATATTTTTGTAATATGGACATATTTTTTGAGGAGGCAGTGTCTCCCTTGCCTCTGATATACTGATATAGACATCATATATATATATATATATGGGAATTTAACATAGGGGTGTCCTGACTTATGCACCCTGTATTTTAAGGAAAAACATTGATTTATTTATGATACATTATTCATTCACAAAGAAAATTTGTGTCCTTAAAGGTTGGAGTTTTCCTCATTTTTCTAATTACGGCATTAAGATCAATATCCAAAAGATGATTTTTTTATTCCTCTTTTTAGGCAACTTTAGCATGAGTGTCCAAACTTATTCACACCACTGTAATGCCCCTGATATAGACATTATGCACCAGAGAAACGTGGGCGCCGTCATCTTTAGAATATTGTCTTTGAACTTCCGGTTGTGTATATTTCTATGGCATCGCTGTCGAGGAGTAATTAGCTGGTGAAGTGGATTTACTTATTGTAGAGTTAACAAAAGTTATCATGAGCATTGTAAAGCAGATGTCTTAAAAAAAGTCGACCGGAATTTTTTTTACGAGCAGTTCATTCATACCTATGCAAGATCGCTGTGAAAATACAGACCGGAAGTCAAAACGAGCGCAGAGCTGAAAAGGGGCGGGGCTACATAAGGTCTATACAAGCCATTTTGTTCATACAGTACAAGTGAAATCGTGATAACATGCAAAAAATAAGGGGCCATTCCTGTAAGATTGTGCATATAAACACACTCATTGTGTTTTGGTAATAATTAGGAACCCATGATGCAGTATTTGAACATTTCTCTGTGTGTTTTCAGGCCAACATGCTGCATGATCGCTTGGCTCAGATATTTGAACTCACCATTCGGTAAGTTGACATGAGAGTTTTTATAGGTGGAAAATGAAAGTGTTAGTATGTTTATCAAATATGTTTCAGTGTGAACTGATGTTTGATTGGTCATTCTGTCTGTTCATCTCTAATCAGCCCTCCCCCGAGCCCCTCGGGCACCGTGACCGTGACATCAGGCCATGCCCAGTACCAGTCTGTGCCAGTCTATGAAATGAAGTTCCCTGACCTCTGTGTGTACTGAACCATGACTTTTCACCTTGTCTGTATCACACAGACTCAACTTTGACATATGACCACTGACCTTTATCACACTTTAAAAGGCCACATGCTTGGTCCTGTGACCTTTATCTCACCTGAGCCACTCATCTACATTAGACGCCTTTCACTATAAACTTTTCATACATTCATGTCCAGCAGAGGGAATGGATGCGACCTGGACACCTCCATTCTGCACCAATCAGCACGCAGAGCTTTACAACCAGCTGTCCAATCATACACCAGCTCTGTATAATCGTATGTCTGTGATTTTCAGTTTGATTCTTGCACTAATAGGCAGCTCCAAGAATCAAAACTAGTCTTTTAAACACTTGATTCTTCAGCTTCTTTATCTATTGATTCATAGGAGTCATTTAGAAAAAGACTCACTCTGGCTGCATTTAGGGGAACTTAACTGCTAGTTTATTTTCATGAACTAATTATTTTTCTTTAGCACATTAATCCATCATCAGCAGAGAGATTTGAGCATAATTGGTTTCTGCTCACTCAAATCTCTCCTATATAAATGATTATATTGTACAGTATCGCACAAGTATAGTATAGCCTATTTTTGACATATATACTTTTAGATGAAAGATAGTTGCAGAGTGTCATTTGTGTATTGTTTGCATGGCTTAGCCAACATTTCACTGCAAACGTCCGAGTGTAGGCCTTTATTAATCTACAATTAGCCTTTAACTTAAGTGTTGTGGATGTTAATAGGGCTTTTTTTCACCCAGAGTTCTTAGTGATCACTATGCTCTCCATTTTGCCTTCACTGTATAGACAAACCAAAACATTTGCTTTTCATCACCAAAGAGCTCCACCCACACCCTTCCTTTATTATGGCCACATACGGCCGCCATTCAACTCTCTTCGAGGGTGGAAATACCGCAGTGTTCTTGAACTCAAACATAAAATAGCTTTTAAAAAAAACTGGGAGTCAAAAAATGCTGGATATCAATGATAAAATGATCAACCAGCTGTTTTTATATCAGGCTTTGAAATGATTCTTTCTTTATTCATTTACCTTAGGTCGAAAAAAAATGTGTTATGCTGAATTCTGACAACTTATCTGTGACTGTTAGATGCTGAAATACTTTGCTGGAAATGTTTTACATCATCTGAGCTTCCTGTTGTGAGAGCTGTGATCAGTTTCAGTTACGTTTAGCTGGTAAAAACCGTTTAGGATACTTTTGGGTGATTCTGAGGTGCTTTTCATAGGTTCAAGAGATTTGTTGTCATACAACTGGCTAGTCTTGGTTTTGTGAACGTATTTATGTGGACGGAACGGCAAGTGAGCGGACAGGCTGTAGGTGTGGTACGTTTAAATGCTGATTATAGATGATTTAATGATGTTGGCACTTTTTTGCCCTGTGAAACGTTTCAACGGTCTGTCTGTTCGACTAGAAATTGCACTTGTGGGATTTCAAGAAAGTCAAGAATGTCTTGAAGTATTTAAAGGTCAAACTTCCAAGATGGCTTCCTCAATAAGATCGATTTCTTGATTTCAAAGAGTTGATGAGAGCGAGATGGCAGCTTTCCTGCCTTGATCCTGATCTGTCTAAAGGAAGTCTGATGTGTAAAAGGAAGGATTTCAGTGACAAAATGTTGGTGGACACTGGACAGGAAATAGTCAGTAGTTGACCTTTGGCCGTTGTGTATTTCTTTAAGTAACTTGCTGCATTCCAATAGAGGTTGCTTTGTGACGGTACGTGTAAAAACTATTTTAAGCTGTGATGAAATCAGGCAAATTATTTCTGTAGAAAGATGAAATCATAAAGAATTTTTAGATTAATGCAATACATATTTGGGGTAATAGGAATGTGATGTTTTTCTGACACATCATCTGTAATGCACCTTTAGAGAAGGGACACGATGAGTCTTTTTTTTGCATTCTGTTTGTTTTTAAGGGAAATCAGTCTTACTGTAACTGCTAATTCACAATATATGATGTTTTATTTTCATCCTTGGTGGAACTTTTACGGTACTTTAGTGTATCACATGGTTTGTTTGAAATATTGTATAGTTGTGATATCTGTAACAACAATGTTTTATTTTTTTCCTTTGTTTCGTTTGTATGGGAGAAGTAAAAAATAAGATGAGTAAGATTTGGGGTTGATGGTGATGTGTCGATACGGGACTGTGAGGGTTTCGCAGGCTTCTGTGTGAGGATAGGTAAGTCTGCATGCATCATGCTAGATTTCAAATGTGTAATGGTACAAACCACTGCAGTGTTGCTACAGTAAATGAGTATAAAAGCTACAATGAAATCTCTCGGTGTTATTTAGCCATATCCAGGTTCGCTGTCTGACAGTGTCTGCCACAGTAATGTGCAATGAGATTTCATGTGCGAGATCTTAGTCTTAATAAAGATTTTATATTTAAATACTCAGTTTCTGTTGTCTTTTTGTATATGGGTGAACTCGTGTGCCTGTAGCACTCTCTTCACTCGCCGGTCAAAATGACCGGAGCCCTTTTTGTTTGTCCAGAAAGCTTATATAATTTAATTTTGATATTTTTTTCTATTAGTCTGCATTGTAAAGGTGTTCAAATCTAACCACTTCATATCTGTGTGCATTATGCATTGTGACTGATTGATTTTTGTTCAAAAATATTGGCCCGTTATATGACTTCTTCATTCTTTTTAATGGGCATTCCCAGGTGTGTGTGTGTGTGTGTACGTGTCTGTATGCATGTGATTGTTTTCTGCATTGGGGATGTTCTATAGTCTCATGCCTTCATTTGTGTTTGTGTTTATACTGGATTGTACCAGATTATTTATATTGAGATGTTTTTATATTTTTAAGTATCCAGTCAAAAAAAGTTATAAAAAACAAATAATTTAGTTTTTTTTTCCTACAAATCGGCTTGATTTTATTTTGCTTTATGCAGGCTATTTTTTTTATTTTTTTTTGAGTGAAATTATGATATTTGTCATGAGACTCACCCAGACATTTTGTGTTTGTTGATTTTTGGCCTCCTTGACTTTAAAAAAAAAAAATCACAAATTTTTTAAATGTTATCTTTGCAACTAACTGAAATAAGTTTGAGTTGAAGTTCTAAAATTACTAACTGAAATAGACCTAAACTAAATTAAATAAAATATTATTTATAAATAATAAAATAATACTGGAGTAGACAGATAATAGGGCAATGGGATAAACCAGATCGCCTGCCACATCTTCTATTAAAAAAAAATCAAAAAAAAATTTTAATTAAAAAAAAAAACGGTCTTCTGTAACCTCAACATGTTTTATGCGGATTCAAACTTTTTACATAAACAATAAAAGTGTTTATTTTTAATTAAACAATAATCAGTTACAATTAGATAAAAAATACTGAGAAACATACTGAAACATTCACAATTCAGCACAAAAACGCAGTCTTTCAGCAGATCAAACACAAGCGGAGGAGAAGCAGCAGATCTTGAATGATCTTGTGTGGCCATGAGTGAGTTCAGATTACATCTTTTCTTACTGATTCATCTATCATTGAGAGCTCCCTGAAAAAGGAAAAAATTATAGAACCACTTCCTCCTACTGCTCCAATTCCTCTTCCTCCTCTTCTTCTTGTTCTTTTTCTTCCTCCTCCTCCTCCTCTTCTTTTTCCATTCCTGGCTCCTCCTCCTCCTCCTCTTTGATGCCCAGTTGTGGTTTGCTGTGTTGGGGGTTCTTGTTGACTGTGGGTTTATGTGGCTGAACGTGCGTGTTTGATGGGTCTTGTGTGTTCATTTGAGGCCGTGATGGGGTCATTTCATTGCTCTCCTCACTGGAGTCCTCACTGGCTGATTGTGTTGAAGAATGAGGCTTTCGGAGGCACTGTGGGCGGGGCCCGGAACATGAGGTGGTGACTGATTGGTTGAAGTGTGAAGCCGCCATGCACTCGGCAGTCGAGCGATCGCAGACGCACTGGAGCCGGTCACACACGCTCACACCGGTACCTGCCACACATACACAACATAAATCATAAACATGAAAACTGTGAAAAACGTTCTTAATTGTGAAGTTTAGAGGTTTTTGCATGCTTTCAATGGCGTACATCGAGGCTTTCCATTTTGGCAGCTGATTTGAGCGTTGAGTTTTCTGTTTTTTCTGCAGCCCAGCAAACTAAGCTTCTCCAAACAGCACTGCTGCAGAAAACAGCACCTGACGCAGAGACACGTCAAGGACAGTCAGGACACAACAGCTTCAGCAGGGAATTTAACCGCACAATTACAGTAACGCTCTTTACACTGCCAGTCAGTGTGTGTGTGTGTGTGTGTGTGAGAGAGATTCCAACCAGGGTAGAAATGTGTGTTTCTGTGTGTTCTGACCGGTCCAGTTGGTCTACAGGGTTTCCTGTCCCCTGTTGTCCACAGTAGCAGCCATAGTGTTGATACTCGTGAGGACATCGTCCAGTCAGACAGTGCAGCATTTCTCCCAGAGCAGACATGTCCCTCAACACCTGTCCAGATGCACTGTACTGGAGGAAAGACGTGCTGCACTCTACAAACACACACACAACATTAATGTAGCCACACTTTTTTGATGCTGGAATATTATTTCCCATACAAAAACTGTACCATTGTGATGATACCATGCTACAGAGATGATGTCAGTATCATGGTTCTTAAATACATACAATGGTACTGAATGATGACCATCTTAATGTAGCGTGTTATTTACGTGGTTCTGCAAAAAACATTTACGAATGGAATGGTAATGGTTGTCCAAAAACACGGCATCTGTTTGTCTCATTGTTTCTGTGTATGTTTCACTTATCCACTTTAAGTACATGTAAATGCACTTCAATAGTTTGAAGCTATAATTAGTCAGAAGCTATAGTCAAAAGCTATAATTTGTCTTTTTAAATTGTCTGAAATTCTACTAGCTTTTGTCTAGTAGCTTGACTTCGTGCAGCATGGAAGATAACCAGCAGACTACAGTTGGCTTTAGTGTTGTACACATGAGTTGAAAGATAGAGTTGAAGTATATTTCAGAAAGACACTACAGGCAAAACCATAGTTTTTCACACACCATTAAATTTTGATATTTTAGGCTATTTTGCATCCAGTACATGTATTTTTTCAGGCTTGTGAAAAAAAGAGAAAAATCTAAGCTACAAAACATCCAAATACAAAATAAAAGTATCCAAAATACACAATTACACTTTATCTATTTGCATCTGTAGATTTCAATTGCAATACATTTATTTAAAGGCTGTTAAAGGCACTAAGCCTGAAATCTCCACTTTAATAGCACTTACAAACACCAAATTATCTGGTTTTATTCTTATTTATATTCTAAAGGTTTTTACAGAGTGGAATGTTCTTATGTTGTTTGTCTGATTTAGATCATATTTTATACCTAAAACACAGTAAAACATTGTATTTCTGACTGTTGACAGTATTTTCTGATTTATAGAGTGGTAAAAAAAAAGAGATCAAAAATCCCATCTATAAAACCTGTAACATGTCAACAAAATGAGACAAGAATTTTGAACTTGGCTTTATCCAGTGTTCAGACTTCTATTCTGGAATGTATAGACCATTTCACAAGATGTAAACAACACTGGTCCAGAAGCACTTCCTGATTCAGTTTTTTAAACACTACATAAAAGCTGGGATAAAATACAACCAACAGAACATTTAAAACTGAATCAAAAAGTTAAACAAACATCTTTAAGATGTTTTCTTTACATGTGAAATAAAGAAAACAGTTACAAACTGAAACAGGAAGTGCTTCTGGGCCAGTGTTGTTTACATCTTGTGAAATGGTCTATACAGGTAAGTTCATATTTAATTGAGTTAGATGATGTCTCTCACTCAGAAAACCTGTAAAACAAATCAATTGTCTTAATGTACTGTCAAAAAGGGGAAGTATGATGATATCTAGTTAAAATGTTTTACCCTATTCATCTATGGGGTCTTGCCTTAACGGTATAGGGTAGGCAATTTTCAGAGAGGTTAGCAATAGCAAGCTAGCTTTGAACGCACAAGATCCCACCCTTCCTTTAGAGCGTCTCCAAAGCCACGCCCCCTCCAAAACACATGAGCACATACAGTAGGGAGCAAACAGAAGCGCTACGAGAGACAGTGTTAAACTACCTCACGTCTCAAAGCACCAAACATTACAATAATAGTAAACATAACCTAAAGAGCACTGACCTGTATCACCTGACTGCTGCAGATTCATTTCGACGTTGATAGTGTCGCCATTAAAACGCATAAATTCGAGTCACGAACAGCAAAGAGTATAACGTGACAGGTTTCCATCTCTTCCAATTTATGGTAGTTAAGCCTGATCTTGTTGTTTTGGTTCAGGAGGAACTGTAAAAGGCAACTGTTGTATTGGTTGCGGTGCTCAGTGATTGACCTCTGTCTAACTCTGCAGAGCATGAAACGTGCGGATGACGTATGATGTCGCCGCGAGCAGGGTGCGTGGAGGTATGAAAATACATAAGTTGACAGGCAGCTGGAACACTGTTTCAAATGTTGAATATTTTATAGTCCTACAAATTAAACAGACGATATATATATTTAAAGTACATTTAGACTACTTCACTTAGTGATTGCTATCAGGACGTGAAGAGACTTTCAACCAGGATAACACAAAATGTTTCTATAGCATATGACCAACCCTGTCTTTAATTTCTCAAATGTTCAATTACGCAATGTGTTATATTACAGTATGGAGATGGACACTTTAGCTCCACTAACCAAAAACCTACTGTTGCTCAATTATAATTGCATATGCACACAGGCTTAATGTTTTATTATCTGTCTGTTTTAGGCTGTCTTTCTCTTTAAATTTCCCACCTTCAGAGTCTTCTTGCTGCTGCAGGTCTGACAGTCCAGCGGCCTCCAGTAGAGACCAGGCAAAGGATGGCGCCGCCCGTCTCCGGACCTGGTGAGACTCTGGGAATCACACACAAACACACACAGTGATTTCTCTGGAGTACAGACGCATGTGCAGGAGTGTTTGGAGAAAAGCTTAACGTAATTTTCTCAAGCAGTAAATGTTCTTGGATGAACATTCTGGAACATTACCCTGCTGATTAACCCATTTAGGCCAAAAATTAAGCCTGCTAAAAAAAAGGCCTTTTTATGCCTAAGTACTTTTCTGTAAACCCCCTCCCAAAACCTAAGGGTTTCAAGCAATATTTGTCCAAATTTGTCAAAGCCTACAAAAATCTTAATTTCTCAGGCTCTATAGCAGATATAAACATGGAACAAAAAACTGACACCGCTCAAAATTATGCAGGCGCGTTTGCTGGGCTTTAATGGTGATTACGCACAGATGCACGATCTGGTCTTAGGCCGTGTGTCCACCAAAGCGTTTTTCCACGCGCCTGGCGTATGTTTTCAATTGTTTTCAATGGGAGCGGCGCGTTTTTTAAACGCCGTGAGCGTACCGAGGCGCAGAGCGTTCTTTTTCACGCTGAAGCGCCGAGCGCCCAGCGTTTTTACTGGTCGTTGGGAGTTGAAAAATGTTCAACTTTGGATAAAACGCAGCGCTCATCACTGTCACATTTTACCCAGCCGTCCAATCACAGTGGAGGAGGGGCGGGACCAAACCAACCTTAAGGCCGTGTGTCCACCAAAGCGTTTTTATCCAGCTGAAAACGCTAGACGCTCTGCCTCTGCTGAAGACGCCGTGCTTTGGGCGCTTGAGAGCGCTTTGGCAGCGCAGCAGTTTTTCTGTTGAGACGTTTCGTTGCTATGATACGAAATATATGCAGCAGTTTGAATGTTGTGACAGTTGGTTGGTGTGGTTTGGTCCCGCCCCTTCTCCACTGTGATTGAACGGCTGGGTAAAATGTGACCGTGATGAACGCTGCGTTTTATCCAAAGTTGAACATTTTTCAACTCCCAGCGACAAGAAAAAACGCTTCAGCGTGAAAAAGAACGCTCTGTTTAAAAAACGCGGCGTTCCCATTGAAAACAATTGAAAACATACGCCAGGCGCGTGGAAAAACGCTTTGGTGGACACACGGCCTAAGGGTAAACACACACAGATGTGTGATCTGGCTTTAATGGGTTAACCAATTAGATTTCAGGAACAGGATTAACATCAACCAATCATTTTCATCTGATTTCATGATGTTATGAAGTTTGGTTGATATAAGGATGTTGATCCAGGAACACATCCTGCTTGACTAAATCATTTTGTTTGTATTGAAGTTGCAGATGAGCATTGTCACAGTTACCGATTTTCTCTGATTCCTGTGAGCTGTCAGATGGCTCTTTTTCTTCCTCTTCCTCCTGCTCCTCTTCCTCAGCAGACTCTTGGTGAGCAGTTACAGTGGTCAATGAAGGTAACTGATCCAGGGCGGGACGGGGAGGTTTCAGGGGATGAGGGATGGTTTCAACAGCAGCATGTCCTGATATTGTGGTCTGTGTGCTGACAGGCTTGTGAACTGTAGATGTGGTCTTGTTGTTTCTAGTTGGTTTTGCAGCTGCGTAAACCGTTGGTCTTGGTGATGGACTGTCAATGGGAGGTTTAAGGAACTGTGCTGGGATTATCCACATGTATGGACTGACCTCACCGACCCTGGATGGGATCGTGGTTGTTTGGGTATTGACTGATTTCTCTTCTTCATCACTTTGTAGATCTTCCTTGCTTTCTATATTGTGCCTTTCATCCTCTTTAGATTGAGATGGCTTCGTGTTGGCTTGTGTTCGAATTGTCGGTTTGGTTGTGGTTAAGTCGTCATTTTCTGCGCTGTTTTCCTGACTCTTGTTTGGTGGGTTTACTATGAAATCACTCTCTCTTTCTGTCTCTTTATCTTCTTCACTCTCTCTCTCCATCTCTCCTATCTCTCTCTCTCCACTTCCTCTCATAGATGGAAGTGGCACAGAAGTGGTCGCAGCCACTGTGTATTTATTAGTAGCAGTGGGCGAGGTTGTTTTGTGAAGTGAGTTTTGATTGGCTGTTATTTTAGTGGGTGTGGTCAAAACTATAAAAGGCCTTTGATTGGTTTGTGTTGAATGTTTTTCTATTTCTTTGTCCCTCTCTGTCATTTCCTGCTCCTCTTCTCTCTCCTCCATTGACTCCTCACTCTTTTCCTCTGTTAGGATGTGTAAAGGTGGGCTGACATACGGTTTAGCGATGTCATTTGAGTAATTAGTTGTAGTATGTGTAACAGGTTTTACGGTGTGTGTATTATGCGCAGGTGTGTGCGTGACAGGTTTGCTTGCAGCTAAATGAAAGGTGTCTTTATCACTCTCATCGTCGTCGTCCTCAGATGAATGATGGTCAGATTGTGTAAGAGTGTGTGTGTATGTTGTGTGGGGTGTATAGTGCAGGCTGTGTGTGTTTGTGTATGTATCTGGTATGTCTGTGACAGTCTGTGATTCTGTTATTGTGGTTAGCGCTATGCTAACAGTCGGCTCATCTGTCATAAAACCAAAATATTACAGTCAGAAAACATGCTGAAATTGTTTTAATGAGGTATTTTGCATATGTGTTTTCAGTATAATAAGGCATGCTCACTGTTTGTGCTCCACTCCATTGCATTGTGGGTAGTAAGGATTTCCTCTTTATCTCTGCCCAGATGTTCTGTTATCAGCACAGAAGTAACTAAAATACAGAAAGTAGAAGCACAGGATATGTCTTAAAGGGTTAGTTCACCCAAAAACGTTTAATTCGGTCAGTAATTACTTACCCTCATGTCGTTCCAAACCAGACTTTCATAAGTCAAGATATTTCTAATGAAATCTGGGTAAATTCTGTGCCTCCATTGACAGCTACGCAACTACCATTTTGACGTTTCTAAAAGTTCATAGATTGTAAAACTAATCATTTCATTATATAGACAAAAACAGTTGACACATCTCTTAAAAAACGCCAGTCCATATCAGCCCAAACATACCTGTCCATTTAATTAGTTTATTTATATTGTTTTGAATAATTATTGTACCAAATGTGTTTTGTTGCAGATATTTGGTGTTTACTTTTTGCTGTTGGTTAATTTACTTCTTTAGCCACTTTATATAGACTTTCTTTCTTTTAAATTGCTTATAAGAACTAGAAGAAGCCAGCAAAAATGAATGCAATATAAATGCTTAGAGCCTCAGTTGAACTCAAACTGTGGGATTTGAAGACTTGTCTTCATTTAGAATCATTTGATCAAGCGTTTTTGAACCGTAAACAGCGAGTGTGCTGGAATTTCCAAGAAGTCTTTGATTTACAAGCTGAGATGAATTTGTTTGTGAATTATTTAAAATGCACAAAGCAACACAGTGCATCTTGGTGTTGGTGTTACTCCATTTAGCTTATCTCTTACCATTGGAGACCCCATCCTCATATTTTATTGGCTCCTCTTCCTTTTTCTGAACTGTATAACTCTCTGAATTTATGTCCATCTTGCTCTCCTCTGCTTCATTCTCTTCTTCCTCTGGACCAAAAGATAAAGTTCAGCTTAGATCAGTGCATTCTAGCTGGCTAAGGCTTACTCGGGTTACCAGAACTTGCAATATGAAGGAGAAATCGTCCTCTGGGCTACAGAAAAAAGACTAAATATAAGTTCAGTGAAGCATGTTACCTGAATGATATATCCCAGGGTTCTTTGTGCTCTGGGTATTGCTGCTATGAGAGCTGTTGACCAGCACCAACTCATTGGTGAAGTTTCTCATAGTCTCATTTAGTGTGCCATTTACACCTGTAGAGAGGGAGGTATTTGTATATGATTTTTTAAAATAATAAATCCTATGTTTTTATTTGCACAGAAAATGTTCTTATGCAAAAAAAAATAAATAAATAAATAAAAATCCAGTTAGATTTTTACCATGTACACACATGTTCTTATATTTCATAATAATATTTCTAAAGTAAGTTATTACTTATTCCAGTTCTATACAGTATATACTCATCAATTGTGCATTTATTTGATTATTTGAAAATACAGTAGCATTGTGAAATAATATTACAATTTTAAAAAGTTTTCTATTTCTCAATTTTAATATATTTTGAAATATAGCTGAATTTTAAGTATCATTACTCCAGTCTTCAGTGTCACATGATCCTTCAGAAATCATTCTAATACACTGATTTGCTGCTCAAGATTCCTTATTATCAATGTTGAAAACAGTTGTGCTGCTTGATATCGTTGTGGAAACCATGATTATTTTTTGCAGGATTCTTTGAGTAGAAAGGAAAAAAAAATAAAACAGCATTTTGAATTAAAAATATTTTATAAAATTATAAATGTATTTATTATTATTTTTGATTAATTAATTTATGCTAAAGAAAAATATTCATTTCTTTTTTTAAATATTACTGACCCCAAACTTTTCAGTGGTAGTTTATATATTACAAAAGGTTTAGACTTATTTATTTATTTTGTTTTATATTTATTTAAAAAATATTATATTTATTTATTTATATTAATATGTTTGTTTATATTAACAAATCCTGTATGTGCATTACCATAGAACATGATTTCCATGTCGATGTCTGATGGAGAAAGCTCCACCTTGTCTGAAACACAAACCACACTGTTAATTGATCAGCAAGATATCTAAATCTCTCTCTGTCTCTGTCTCTCTCGCTCTCTCAGGAAGTAGGCTGGTCTCTTCATTGTTACTCAAAATCAAGTAATTTATCAAGTATATAAAACACATTTTAAAAGCAAATATAAATGCAAAGAAATGTGGACTGGGAGTGATTTCACAAAAAAAAGTCTGTTGATGTACTGTGCCTTACAGAAACTTGGTTTAAACCAAATTACTATATCGGTCTTAATTCAGGATTCAGGCCCCATCATAACACAGAAACTGCGCTTAGTGTTAAAGTCACAAAACTTACTTCTAGCTTCTGACCAAGGCTGCATCTCAATACTAGTTTTACTCTAGAGCTGCGTTCGACACTATAGATCATAACATACTCTTAGATCGATTGCAATGCTATTCACTGACAGGCATTAAGGTGGTTTAGATCGCCGTTACCACTTTGTTTATTTAAACAGGGTATTATCCAAGTTAACGGCAGTCAATTATGAAGTGCTACAAGTATCTGTTTTAGGCCCTCTGCTATTTCGCTACTCTGCTAAAAAAAAAAAAAAAAAAAAAAAACTATTACATTTGGATAAGACTGAGGTATTACTTTGGACCAAAAACCTTACCTGTACCTCTACAAAACCTCGGTGTTACATTAGACAACAACTTGTCTTTTGAAAACTATATTTCATATGTTACAAAAACCGCATTCTTCCACGGTTCCACCTCAGAAACATGGCTAAGCTACTGAATATGTTATCTATTTCCGATGCAACATAAAACCTGTTCATGCATTCATGACCTCAAGACTGGATGACTGTAATGCACTATTGGTGGATGTGAATAAGCTAATCCAAAATGCAGCTGCTAGAGTTCTTACCAGGTCAAGAAAATAATGTAAAATGATAAAAATGTTATCATCTCTACACTGGTTACCTCGATTACAAATAATATCGATTACAAAATATTGCTACTGACTTAGAAAAGGCCTAAATGGTTTAGCTCCTGTGTATTTAACCGATCTTCAATCGCCCTACAATCCATCACACTATTTAAAATCACAAAAGTCTGGACTTTTGATAGTACGTAGAGCAAGGGGCAGCATGTATATTGAAACTGCCTAAAAAGACCTTTGCAGCACTCCACAATTTACTGACATTAACTTGGATAATACCCCCATTTTAACAAAATGGCAACGTCAGTTAGGTACAAAAGGAGGTAGAGCGTTTTAGCCTTCCCTATAATGCTCAGAGCTCAGACATATTCTCCCAGTCTGAATCTAGTTTAAAGACACATTAGCCAGACATTCACATAATGCATCTCAAAACTGTGTGCTAGCATCAGTTTGGATCCAGCCTCTTACACAGATTTTGGATGACTCAACACCTGTGAAGAGATGACACCAATCCAAGGACTTCAGATGACGCCAACTTTGAGTCAACGTACATAACTGCCTCATTTTCTGTAAAGTTGCTGTGAAACAATATGTATTGTGAAAAGCACTATTCAAATAAATGTGAATTGAATTGAACAAATAAAGATAAAACAATGAGAAGGACTGAATGGAACATAAAAGAGACGAAACTTTATGATACTTTTTATGCTATCATCATCATGTGATGTATTTATGACATGTATGTTTGTTGTTAGGACTGTGAACATCTAGTGACTTTGAAAGGTAGTTACTTGTACTCTGATTTAAGACTGTTACCTGTCTGTGATGTGATTGGTTGGTTATCCCCATCCTGTTTTGTGACTGCATGGTTGGAGCTGATGCAGTCTATAACTGTCCAATCACAATGGCAGAATCCTTCCTCACAGAAATCCAACGTATCTGCAGAAGTTAGACACAACTGAGGTCAGCTAACTCTTTTCTAACAGTGTAATCATCCCATATAAATGATAGTAATCAAAATGTTAGCTCCTTGATGGACATATCTTCCTTTAAGGCTCTTTGAAAAGTAAAAATCTGCAATGAAAATGTTTTAAAACTACGTGTACCACAACTGGAGTTGTAGCTGCAGGTGTAGTTGTTGTACATCGGTGTCCTGCGACTGCAGTTTCTGTCCTGTAGCTCTTGAGAACATCTCCAGTGGTTAAGACAACAGCTACAAAAACAATCACATTGATTTAAATTTTCTATTCATGTGCACGTATTTAGCATTATACAGTTTAGCAGATTTACAGAATATAGAATAATAGGCCAAAAGAATAATGAAAGGAAAAAAACATCTCACTCTATAATTATACTATACTTGCCCGGGGGCATGCATATGTTGGCATTTATATTCATGTATGTTTAAAAGTGTGCATTTATATGAATATATCGTGCACATTAATATAAAGTGCATGTTTGTTTTTTTACACACGTCACTGCTCTCTCTGTTTTAATTTTTAATCTCTTCCCCAACTGCAACAGGCAGAAAAGAGGGGTCAGAGCCTGCAATAAGTGAGTGTGGACTCCACTGTGAAGTTAATACATCCATTTAAAATCTTTATACCCCCTCCTGAGTCTAATTTTATCCGTTTCTCATTTCTCTCTCTCTCTCACTGCGTGTGCTCTCACCGGTCGAGTGTGTCGGCAGGCGGGGTGTGTGTGTATGCGGTGCCCCGTGTGTTTGCGTTGCTGCAGTAATGTCCGTGGTTCTGAATGTCCGCGGGACAGAGTCCAGTCTCACACCGCAGATTGACCGCAAACTCCAGCACTGACCGCAGGTCATCAAACACGGAGTACAGCCAGCTGAACCGCACACCCAGACAACCTGTGCGACACACATTTTTAAAAGATAAAGATTTGTGTGTATTATTATTATGTATTATTATAATATTATTTATTTTAAATTGTATAAAAAATGTTCCGTCTAATTTCTCTTGTTTATTTGTTTGTTTATGTTGAATGCACTCACCAATCAGAAGCTCATCAGAACTGAGGTCACTTGTTTCTGGGCAGAAAACTGCAGTGCCATGAACTGCACAGAGAAAGTACAAATGTTCCACATTTCTTTGTCTTAAAAATTACGCTGTTGTATTCCCATATGTTATCCCCATAAATTTCTAAACTGAATGGTTGCACACTTTTACAGTATGTGCACTTTCGTGTAGCTACATACCTAAGAAAGAGTAAGTTCTATAAATTAACTACAGTACATGGGTTAAAGTTAGGTTTAGGGTTCAGTGTTAGTACCACCTAGTAGTTATTACTCAGTCATTGTAATAAATATAATAGTTCATCATATGTACATGGGAACAGGACTGTAAAAAAAGTGCTAATATAATCGTAATGCAGTGTTAAGTCTATATTGTGTCAGCAGAGACGCAATGATTGCCCAAATAAGAAATCAAATTAAATAAAAATATTTCTTGCTCACACTTTTTTTTGTTTCATTGTTTGTTTTGATTTTTGTTTATTATTGTCCGTTATTGAAAATAATCCAGTACTTTGGAACTGGGACCCTATACGCTCTTTAGTGTAATAAAATTGTTTAAAAAAAATCCTTCTTTAACAATTTAAAAAATATATTGTACATTTGAAAATCACCAGAATTATACATGCACTCAATTTCACAAATCAATATTTTGTTAAGCTACAAACCCAAAGCTCCAAAAACTCCAAATATAATTTTTAAAAATTATATATATATATATATATATATATATAATTAAATCTTAAATTAAGTTTTCTTTTTTAATGTTTTAGAATGTAATTTATTCCTGGGTAGGCAAAGCTGAATTTTCAGCATCATTACTCCAGTCTTCAGTGTCACATGATCCTTCAGAAATCATTCAAATATGCTGATTAAAAAAAAAGTACAGAAACTGAGAATAATTATATTATATATATATTATTATATATCTAAATGTCGGTTTCATGGGTGATGATCTCACTACTGACAGAAGATTGTTTGCATTTTCTCACCTTTCTGCAGGGTGAAGAGGAGAAGAAAATACAGCAGCCTCATCTTTATCCTGATACAAAAGAATCAGTTGTACCATCCAGTATTCAGTGGCCAGTCAAAGCCAAAGCAAGAGTTATAGCAACGAGACACACAGACATCCAAACTCTTCACTTCAGAATCTCTTCTAATGCAGGTGTGTGTTTAAGAGACGAGAAAACATCCCCAAAAATGAACAAAGCCTTATTTAGAAAACTCTAAAAGGTTAAAGGGCAAAAAAACAGGGTGGTCATCATGGCAACAGGGCTGCAGGAAGTACACATTCTTTATATATGCTTCAGGTCCCACATGAAGAGATGAAGTGGGATCTCTCACACACACCTATGCCTCTCTTTTATCCAGGGTAAAGGTCTTGACCCCAACTGAAAACTGGGGTCCTCAAACAACTAGCCATTGTGTATGTGTGTGTGACAGGAACTCAGGTGAGGATCAAGCAGAAACTGGGGGTTGTAAATGATTCTTTGTATTCTCTGGGTTTCTAGTTTCAATTAAGCATGATGTGAATGATGCAATACTCCAAAAAAAGAATACACAGCACACATAATTATTATGTAATCTATTTGTAATGACACTGTATTCAACCAATTTTAGCAATCCTTTCAGTACTGATTGACCTTTATAATACTTTTCACATTAAACACAAAGTTATTTTAGTGTGTTTGTTGGTGTAGTTAGACAATACAAATTAGACATGGGTAAATATGTTTGGTTTTATTCGTGTTCAGGACAGGAGAGACAAAGTACAATGTCGACACTATAGATTTGCACACTACTATTCAGATTCAGAGATGCTTTAATGTAGTTCATTGTTTAACAGAACACGTTTCTCTCTCTTACGCACACACACACATACACACACACATTCTGGATTTCAGATGGTTCAGATGTCTGTCACCGCAAATGATTCTCAGTTCTTGTCTTATATCTTCACACACATTCTTGCCAGACATTTCTGCTTCAGATCTGAGAGAGAAAGAGATTGTGTATTAGTAAATTACTTCAACATGAACTCAAAATTGAGTTGTAGTGCAAGATTCAACACAGCATGATATTACAGTACAAAATATGTTTGTTTTTGTAATCTTTAACACAGCTTTCTTGACATCACCATGGAATGGCTTCTTTTAATAATCCAATAAATTCCTGTTAATAATTTTTTTCTCATCGAATAACTTTACATTATGGAAGTAAAATAAGGATTTGAGTGCTCCTTTATGCGGACTTTAAAAAATGAACTTTTAACAACCTGCATAATATCATTTTTTTTACTAAATCAAAATGTGATAACTTGATCTTACTTTGAAACAACAAACTTCTCTAATGATACATACCGGACTTGAACAATATGTATGTGCGTCTGCTCAAATCAACAACCAGTGGATTGCACCAAGAACCCTTCTAACGTTTTTATTTGACCGTTAGCAAAAGCCACGCCCCCAAGTTATCGTTGCTACGCCCGTCAAACAAATGGTCACATGCGTGTCAGTGACCTTTTCTGGAGCAATACCTCAGCGATATCTTCCAGATCGATGCACAAGGGGTTACAGTATGGGTTACAGGAAGGATATGAAGAGTTCAGATGCAAAAGCCTCTAAATGCCATTTGAAATTTTCTTCTAAAATGACCATTTTTATCAAGCTTGTATATTTAAGTTCAGTAATTTCACTTAAATGACAATTAATAGGTAATCTTCATTGCCATTTAAGTGAAATTACTGAACTTAAATATACAAGCTTGATAAAAATGATCATTTTAGAAGAAAATTTCAAATGGCACTTAGAGGCTTTTGCATCTGAACTCTTCATATATTCAAAAGATAAAATACGCAATGAAGGAGACACGACTACTATCGAGGCGAATGCATAGGGCGAATGCTTATACCGGTCTCAAGCGAAATCTAAGAAACCCCATGACTATGGGGCGCCGTTTGTAAAGCGGCTCATGCTGAAAATAACAGCAACATTTTGTCACATTTAGCTTCAAACTATGTTTAAAAAACTGGTATGAATTTTTGACAGTCACTTTTTAGCACATTTGCATCTATATTTGTCAACTTTTGTGTCTTAGGCCATCAATGTGTACTTACATTTACGAGTCATTAAATCATGTTTAATTTGGACTTCTCTGTGCATGCTCTTTGAGGTGTGCCCCATAAATCTCCATTGTATGACTGATAGACAACAATTGAAAATACTGTGGAAACAAAGACACCTACATCTTGGATGCTCTTGAGGTAAGCTAAAACATATCAAAAATTAATTTCAAAGTGAAATTTTTAAGAACCAATCATAGTGCATTTTTATTGAACAAGCTACACTCAACTGGCCACTTTATTACACATTGCTTTTGCTCTCAGAACTTCCTTAAGTCTTAGTAGCATAGATTCCACAAGGCGCTGGAAACATTCCTCAGAGATTTTGGTCCATATTGACATGATACATTAGCATCATGCAGTTTCTGCAGATTTGTCGGCTGCACATCCATGATAATAATCTCCCATTCACATCCAAAAGCTTCTCTATCGAATTGAGATGTGGTGATTGTGGAGGCCATTTGAGTATAGTGAACTCATTGTCATCTTCAAGAAACTAGTTTGAGATGATTTGACATTTCGCGTTATCTAGTTGGAATTAGCCATCAGAAGATGGGTACACTCTCTTTTTATTTATTTATTTTTATTAGGGACCATGTACAATCTCGAACATTAATGTTAGCATTTGATGCATTGTACCAGAGTTAGCCAAAGGCTAATTTACATTTGCAGTCCCCTTTACATCCTCAGTCTTAAAGGAATGGACATGGTCAGCAACAATACTCAGGTAGGCTGTGGCGTTTAAAAAATGCTCTACTAAGGGGGTAGTATGCTTGGTACTAAGGGGACCAACAAATGTGCCAAGAAAATATCACCCACACCATTACACTACCAGCACCAGCCTGAACCATTGGTACAAGGCAAAATGGATCCAGGCTTTCATATTGTTTGCACCAAATTCTGACCCCAACATCTGAATGTTGCATCCGACCAGGCAAAGCTTTTCCAATTTTCTATTGACATTGCTTTTTTGCAGACCTCGGTTGTAACGAGTTACTGTTGCCTTATAGCAGTTCGAACCAATCTGTCCATTGTCCTCTGACCTCTGAGAAGACAATTTTCAACCACAGAACTGCTACTCACTGGATATATGCTCTTTTTCTGGACATTCTTTGTAAACCCTGGAGAGTGAGAAAATCCCAGTAGATCAGCAGTTTCTGAAATGCTCCGACCAGCCCGTCTGGCACCAACCGCCATACCACATTCAAAGTCGCTTAAATCACCTTCCCCATTCTGATCCTATTCTGAAAACTGAAAAATGCTGCCTTTGGAGGAAGTATTCTAAGGCAGGAAGGCATCACGTCAGAATCCAATGTTGTCTGGATACCTTGAGATACCTTCATCTGATTGATTTCTTAAGCCAGCAGTTCTATCTTTCGCTGCCTTTAATATCCCACAATCCCATGCTTTCCATTTTTTTAGTTTAGCTAGAAAAAGAAATAAGGCATCTGAAAGTTGCGCTTGCTGTCAATTTATGTATAAATATATGTTTTTGACCAACGTTACCCACTCCCGATGTCATTTCTAGCGAGAAATTACTATCATAGTAAGTAAATATTCTCTTATTTATCACCAAATCTTGCTCTGTTTTGCTGTAAATCAATTAACCGTTACTCTGCCTCAGTTCAGTTTCATTGTGAAACACAAACGCTGCCTGTGTAAGTCCCTTTAACTGTCCAGTAGAAAAACGTTATTTCAATACAAGATATGTTACTCAATAATGAAATCCAGTTCATCCAGTAGGACACTTTATTCTTATTTTATTCAATTAGGATCTTTCAGGAGTGATTCCAAACTCTGTATATATTCCTGTAGGATTTGCCCTTAGGTGACTGGTGTAGTATCTGTGCATTTCTGTGTAATCAGCTCATGTCTGACATCAGAAAACGATATTGAGAATGGCTGAAAATGATATTTGAGAATGGTTGTATGCTTGAGCTGTATGTGGCCTCAAATGCCATGAGATTATTCAGCGACTAAGCAGTTTACCCCGCTGGAGACACACTACAATCAAGTCTGCCTGCAGCCTATTTCATCTTATTCTATCTTTATCCTGCAAAATACTCTTCACCATCAAGACTGACCTTAGACATCATTAGTCCTGTAGGAAGAGTGTGTTTCATTGTATCACACATACACACATGCACACACACACTTTAATGAGTTCAGATCCACATGCAGGTACAGATTCTTTAATGAGGCCTGTCTTTAACAGTGACCTGTGTAAACACTCACACACTGATTTAACCACAGAAAGCCATAGCTTTAAATAATTCACTGCACTGAAACACACAAATAATGATTAAGGGATATTAAAACTTCAACTGCACTGAAAACAAGAATAAAACTTGGTTAAACTAATTTTAGAAGAAGGAATAATGCAGGGTTTTCAATAATCTGCTGCTGTTGCTGATTTTAATGGACTTTCAGTGAAGGTGTGTGATGACATTTTTAGTATGATAATATAATATATTTATATATTTTTTATTATATGATAGCATGTTGTGATTTGATCTCTGTTAGGGTTAGATTTGTTGACGCTGTGTAACTCACTTTTGGAAAAAGTGACTCTCCTCATTCGACTGCAAACCTCTGCTGTATGTCTCTCGTACCAGCGATGGCTGTCCACACAGTATCTGTAGAGCACAAAAAATAGCAAACATCTTGTTTATACAATTAATACTATTGAGGATATATGCTAAAATACTTACTGCCTGATACTATTGATTTTGTAACCAAAACTGTGACATAGGTTCCGAAAGTCTGAGATCACTAATGCTGTCAGTACTTTCACTTCTGTTTTACAGTTTTCTAAAATATAATATAAACATTTGAGAAGATTAATTGAAAAATTAAAATGAATTTCAGATTGTCTTAATATGCGAGCTGTGTCTGAAATCGCTCCCTATCCACTAAATAGTGCACTATATCGGGTGTCGGCCATTTTGTAGTGGTGTCCGAATTCTGAGTGAACGACATCATTCCCTACATTCATTCACTACTTTTACCCACAATCCTCTCTGAATTCGAGTGTACATTCGATGTACACTCGCTGAAGCCCTATTTCCCACAATCCAATGCGGAGAGAACTGAGCGCGCATGTAAGTTCGGCGCGAGCAAGTTTAAACCAGAGATTACATTACATCCAGTGGAGGATTTGAAAAATATCCGTTAATCGTCGTTTTGAACATAATAACGGTCGACGGAGGGCGCTCGACGACACGTCATCTGTGAACGTGAGAGTTAATGTACAATTACAAAGCTGGCACGGAGGTATAATTACAAAATAAAGTCATTATGATTGTTATTGTTGTTAATATTATTTTATAAAGTAGGTAATGTAAGATAAAAGGAGTTTTATCAGTACGCGTGACGAAGCCTTTTCTGCGACAGCTCCAACTCTCCGACGCACAGTGTAAACGTCAGCGTCCAAATTCACTCACTTCATCTCGTTCACTCCTTGCAGATATAGTGCACTCAAATGCCATACACTATATAGGGATTAGTGAATGAGTGAACGAGTGAGCGGTTTCAGACACAGCTCTGGTTTATCCCCTTATAAACTTAATGACAGCAGCACTCAGGCTTCATGAAAGCAAGGCAATTTGACCTTTTGTACAATGGAGGTCACATGGTGGTCAGTGCCACAAATTTGCATATATAATTGACTTAGAAAAAGCGTATTATTTACTAAAAAAAATCCATTTATGTACACACTTTGATTCCCAGGCTGTCAATATGACTTCAGACATTTGGACCCTATTGAATATCTATATATGTAACTTGCAGGTGTTCTGTAACATGCATCTCCGTTTTTATGTCTGTTTTAAGACTAGTGAATAATTGAGTTGTTGTGTAGAGCTGTACCTCCGTAACTCTACTGCTCTGTGACTGAATCCTCTGCACACACACTGAGAGTAAAACTTGCAGAGCTCAAACACACATGGCTGCAGCTTCACTGAGCTGATAGTCGCCCTGCCCCAGATCGGCTCCTCTTCAAGGGTCTCTTTCAGGTCCTCTTTTTCACTTCCTTGACGAAGTAGCTCCATTCTCCATGGGCATCCTGTCAAAGAAAAAAGTCATGACAAATAGAATAATGGACAAGAATTATGTGTCTGCTATCCAAACATTTTTAGCATCGAGACAGCAATTTAAGCTCAACCAATGACTTGAGTTTGGGGGAGGTCTGTTTTATCAACAAATAGAAGGGTACTAATGTAGGCCCGTTCACACCAAGGACGATAGCGTTAGCTTCAATTCCTGTCTCCTGCGATACCTTCATCTGATCGATTTTTGAAGGCAGCATAGATGTATCATTCGCTCCCTTTAAAATGCCACAATCCTGTGCTTTCTAGTCTGTGACAGTTAAGCAAATAAAAATAAAGATGGCGTCTGAAGGTTGCGGGTGGCCATTTTTTTGTGTTTTTGATCAACGTTTCCCACTTTTTAATGTCATATCTAGCTAGAAATTACTAGTGCTATAGATCCTTACGTTGCCACAAAAGTCTATCCAAAATCAGTTTGGTGAGGTACATTCGTACACAAACGCTGCCTACAAAGTCATTGCCTGATTTTGGGAAGGTTTCGGATGCAGCCCAGAACGATAACTACAAAGTTTTAATAATCGTTCTAATTCTGTAAGAGAAAAAAAGCAAGTCCACCACACCATAACGACTGAAGAAGACCAAAATCTTGTTATTACTTTAAGAAGGATTTTTTCCAGCTGATGAATGATAAAAACATTGACAGCCAAATAGAATCCGCCCGAATTTAAAAAGCTAAAAAATTGCAGCGCGTGTATATGATAAACAGAACATCGTCCCATGCTGTGGAAGCAGATTTATAGTTAGAGTTACAGTATGTTTATCATTCTTGGTGTGAGCAATAAGCCTAAACAAAATCTCACAAAGCCTTCATGATCACTCATTGTGAGAAAAATTGTATGAATTAGAAAATATCTGTAGCCTACCGCTGTGGTGAAGAAAGTAAACAAAATTATGTATTTAAGTTAAAATAAAGATATGAAGTATTACTCAAGTAAATATAATACTCAGCAGCTACTGTAGGTGTACTTGTTTTTAATTAGTGACACTGTAGTGCAGAAATTATTGCCATGCCACATGTCCTGATTTTGCTGAGTAAAGGCCCATTCACACCAAGCATGATAACTAAAGATAACTATATTAGCAGCGGACAATATTGTTCTGTTTACATTAATAAGCGCATGCTGTCTGTCACTTTTGTGCTCAAGCTTGTTACAGCAGGATCGATTCCCATTGTCTGTCAATAGTTTTATCGTTTCTCGGCTGGATACCGACGATATTCCAACGATATCGTTCCTCGATGCTGTTATCATTACAGCTGTGATGTGGTGAGGAGTCTGCTATTCTTTAATATTGAGAATGATTTTAGAACTATAGCCTATCTTTATTGTTATCTTAAATGTACAATATGCAGGATTTTTGCAGTAAAATATCCAAAAACCACTAGGCCAATGTTATATATTTTGTTTAGTTGATTACTTACAATATCCCAAATGTTTAATAGCCTACTATTTGTAAATCGTGAGAAAATTGCGCTGTTTAACCAAGGAAACGGGACGTGTGGGCAGGGGTGAGGAGTCACCAGTCAATGACGTCATATCCGCGTTACCCCCGGTTTCCGCCAGGTTTGACCTCGTACGTACTGCACTAGTAAACAAGGCGACAGACGTCGACAACTGGGTCGGTTATGCCCGTAAATGCGAGCTCAACAGCGCGTGAGCGTCCCTAGCAGAGTTTTGTTCAAACATTATGAGCATGGCAAGCAGACTTTGAGACAAGAGGACTAAAATGAAGATCAACAGCGACTAACTTCGACTTGACAGAGACGCGAGTGCTGCATGTTACTTGAGCAAAACAGGTGAGCAATATAGATCAACATGATGATGAAAAGTTAGAATCTGTATGTTATTATCTAATGTTAACGTTAATCTACCTCAGTCTCATTCAGCCAACAAACAACCCAACACACACAAATGCAGTTTTAGTTTGATAGTGTAACGTTAACCGTTAGAGCAAGTAAAACAGCTCTGCGTTACCTTAAGTTACCTCAAGTTTAATTCCTCTAATAAACTGACCTGTGTGAGTAATTCAGCACTTGCGTGTAGTTCGGTAGAATTAAATGTCCTTATTCCTTTATATCCGCGGGACTCGCGTTGTTTAGCGCTGGTAAGTTACGTCTAGCAATCGCGCCCTGCTTCATACTAGTCAAGTTTAAAAAAACATTAATGTATTCACTCATCCATTAAAGATCGTCATTAATATACGACTTTGTTATTGTAATTGGTTAGTGACCCCTGGAGGCGAAACAATCTTCCAAATCGTCCTTGGTGTGAACGGGTCTTTAGACGTGTTCCTGGGTCAACATATTTGATCCTGGAACAGCATTCCTGTCCGAAAACGTAATGCTAACCATATCCCTACCCCTAAACCTAACCCTTCACATAATTTATGTTATCTCTAATATCAGAGGGAAATGATAGGTGAATAACACTGATATAGGTGTACCTAATTCTGGTTGTAAACCAACTTGACATAAACTGTAAACTTGCCCCTCAAATCTAATTGGTTGATTGGAATGTTGATCCAGGATCATGTTGCACTTGGTGAAATCTCAGACTGCTATGCCACAGTACTCTCTACAAAGCTGCATGTTATATTAGCTTCTGGTGCCATCTAGTGGTCATATCTATTTTAATTTGCAGGAATCAATGTCTACTCAAGGGTCATTGAGGGCTCCCACTCTGAATGGGGACACCTGTATTGAGAGCTGTTGACATGGACAACAGGTAAGCAGTTCAGCTGTCTATGATTCACCTCTCTCTCTCTCTTAACTCTCTCGCATATGCTGTGGCCTTTGTGTGTTGACTCGATGAGACAGACTTAAGTGTGTATATTGATTTTTAATGTGCTTTTAACCTTTCCTGACCCAGCCAAATCAAAACAATCTCCAGGGAAAATAATGGACCGTTGCTATGGATACTATCAATGACTCAGTCTGACTCCATTCAAATCAAATCATTGTCATGGCAACAATAAAATTAACCCTGCCAGCCTGTGCCAAGGCTCCACTGTGTCGCGGTTGCCGCTTTAACAGAATAAAAGGTCAAACTTGTCAGATTCCATTGTGTGTGTGTAGTGTGTGTGTGTGTAGTGTAGGGATGGGACGGTATGAAAATGTCATATCACGATTATAGTGTCCAAAATAATCGTGATTATCAATATTATCACGGTTTTGTTAAAAATTTATGAAAGTGCTCAAAAAGAACTGATGCTCACACTGAAACATTTCAACAAGTTTTATAATTGAAAATCAACAAACAACAAATAAAACAAGCCTCTCTACGCATTTTTTTTAAGCAAGTTTCTATTCTATGGCATTTGCTTCTTTATAATGCCCGTCGTCAATAGCAACGCATTATTACACAGCGCACTTTCATATCACAACGGACGCGCGCTCTTGTTTCATTCAAATACAACTTGCCGTCTTGCGTCTCCGGTTTTTGATTGTATTGCAAAAATGAAATCAGAGTTGATTTATTGCTTACAGAGTTTGATAATATTGGTGTGATATATCTTGTCTGGACGATTGTTTTACAAAATGAATTCATAAATAGGTAAGATTTAAAACATTAGCTAATCTCATTATCAATTCAATATGTCCCCGTAATTATGTGGTAAAAATAAAATCGGTTTAATACGTGATGTATCTATACTTTACTATCCCTTAAAATATCACTCTTAATAATAGTCTTGTTTGAAGTTGTTCGTTCGTCTTTAGCTCAAATCCACTTGCAACGAACCTTTCTTCGCGGAAGCTTCACGTCTATTTCAAGTGAGTGACATAAAATGTTTCAACTCAAAACAACATTTCGTGCCCAATTGTTTCCCAGTGTTGGTATTAAGGTCAAAGTTAACTTGCCTTGCGTTCGGGTGATGATCACACAAGACGACTCGGCAGATTTGAAGTGTTTCTATTGCAGTGACTTTTTGTTCGGCAGACAGGGTGACCATCCTCGATCAAGTTTCACTCAGGACTTTTGTAAAACCCAAAATATGACCACACCTCAGATTTGGTCATTTTAAAAGGCTAAAAAATCTCCTGAGCACGGTCACTGCCTTCCACCATTCCTTCTCGAATAGTAATTTAAAAAAATATTGCGTGCTGCGCGCCACAGGATTCAGTGAGTTATTAAAATCGCGATAATCAAACACGGTTTTAATGATAATTAAATTTTAAACGATAATACTAACCGCCAGTACATTTTATCACGGTTTATCGTGAAACCGGTTATCGTCCCATCCCTAGTGTAGTGTGTGTGTGTCGATGAAGGGTCTTGCCTGGTTTTTCTGTATGCAATACTTTAGTAAGCTGCTGGATGCTTGTCATGGTTGTTTGTCTCTGAGTTGGCTGTGAAATTGTTGCGGTCACCATGGTAGCGATGGTCTGTGAGGTTACCGTGGTCACAGTCGCGTGTGGTGATTTTGTTGGCTGTGTTGTCATGGTTTCAGCTTTTGGCTGGGTTATCACAGCAGTTGTGAGATGGCTAGTGGATGCGTTTGTCATAGAAACAGTAGCAGTGGTCGTCAGAGTGACTGTAGTGGGAGGGGCTACTGACGAGCTAATAAGGGGTGATGATGTCATTGTTGCGAAAGTGGTTGGCAAGACTGTTTTGGATTCGTCGCTGGTTGACACTGTGGAAATAGTGGAAGAACCAAGCAGTTAATTACACAAAACAGTTTAAACTAACTGTTTATTAATTCTGGGAACAATTTTTTTATTGGCTGCAAAATAATAACCTAAAAATAACCATTAGGGAAGGAATCTAAGAATAACCATTTAAATTATTTTAGATTATTTTAAAATAACTTGGGAAACGTTATTTTATGGTTGCAAAGTTTTTGGTTCTCAAAAAATAACCAAGTGGCAACCAAATACTAACATTAGGGGAACATTCTGTGTTTGCTAAGAAGGCAGTAAGTGTCAATGCAAAGTCTAAAGGGATAGGTCACCCAAAAAATTAAATGAAGTCATAATTTACTTACGTTGGCGCTGTTCTAATGCTGTATGCCCTTTCATTCTTTTATGGATCACAAAATGAGAATAAAAAAAAATTGTCCCACTCGCACGGATCCATATAATGCCACACCCTATTTGTACACCCCTAGGACACTTGGACATGGGCATGCTGTGATACTTGCTATTCACTGCCATTATACAGTATAAATGAGTGCAAGCAGGATAATTTTTTTTAAATTCTCCTTTTGTGGCCCATAAATGAAAGAAGTGCATATAGCATTAGAACAACACCAGGGTGAGTAAATTATGACTTAATTGTCATTTTAGTGGGAACCATCCCTTTAAACCTTTAAATCTGCAGATTTAACTCCTAAATAGTCAAGATACCTCTGCTCCTGTAGGAATCTGTACTGGCTTTAGGCCACAGCACCAGGTCACTGTTGTTTGGAAGGTCATGCCACACTACTGTAAGGGTAAGACACGTTCTGACTGGTAAGATTTGCATTCTCATTAAATGTTCATATATCATTGCATAAAGAAAATTATTTCACAGCATAGACAGTAGCATCATAGCTGACAACAGACACTCTTAGAACTCACTTACCAAACGGCAGCATTGGAAATGTCATATTGCCTACAGGGGGGGGGGAAATCATAGTATTTGACCAGCACGTTTCCAATTTATTAAATTGTTGTAGTGATAAATATAAGTGTGTGTGTGTACCTCTGGGTATTTCCTCAGTGATGGTCTGATTAAACAAAGGTGTGACTGAGCCCATATCCCACAGCTGAGACAAATCACTGTCTGAACACATGCCCTTACTTTAGTTTCAGGTTTTTCTTACTTATTTTGATAATAAAAAAGGAGATTACAAATTAAAGGTAGCTAAAAGCATGAATAATTGTCAGTAATAAATGTAATGCATTCATTTAAAAGTGAGTTAACAAAATAATAATAAAAAATCGAATCAAATAATGTCATGCATTACTTTGAAGAGTTAATTCTTCTTCTTTTGGATTGCTCTTGTCTGTATGCTTTTGTAAAAGTAAGTCATGGTTTTGAAAGGTCATAAATGCTAACAGAATTTTCATTTTTGGTGAACTATCACTTTAAGAAAATGACTTTTTGCAGTATAATATTAAAAGGCGCATGTGACATTTAGAATAAACTCTTACAAATCACTTCATGCTAGAACTCACCTGTCTTTCCAGCCATGACACAGATATATATGCAATCAGAGCTGTTCTTCTGACTTACTGGAATAATGATAAAAGCACACACACACACACACACACACACACACACACACACACACACACACACACACACACACACACACACACACACACACACACACACACACACACACACACACACACGTTGGGTTTACTGGTTTATGTTTATTGGGCACTTTCCATTGACATAATGATTTTTATACTGTTCAAACTGTATATTCTATCCCCTAAACGTACCCATCACCTTCTGCATATTTACATCTTTAAAAAACATCATTTAGTATGATTTATAAGCTTTATAATCGTATATAAGGTTGCATTTTGTCCCCACTATGAGTTTACCAAGACCACACAGACACAATGACACTGAGAGCATGGCATATTATGTGAGAAGGACCAGTGCTACAACATTATAATACATTAATAGTGAGGCAAACAGAGGTTCCATATGATATTATATCCAGGAATGTGTAGGTGATTATAGTTGGTGCTTTACCTGAAAGTATAGAGTTGGACTTAAATAGTTCTTGCAGGTAACTGGTGGAATTTCCCATTACATCCAATAGAATAGCCGTGAAATCTGGAAAACACGAAAGGGATTTAGAAATATATTTCATTATCATTATTATTATTATAAGATTAGCAATCAAGGTCGACCGAAGGAGGTTTTTCACCTGTGAGGTCATTGGTCCTGTTTGTCAGACAGTAACAGTATCTCAAGGAAAATAAACTGCTCTCAATGTCCTGAAAGTTTGAGACTACACACACCCACACATGTGTACATGATGCACAGATACATGCTTGCAAACACGCAGAACTACATCATATTTGTGTCATATTGGTGCTGTAGTTACAGTGTTATTTGGATAAGGGTAGTTACTATTGTAGACCAGCAGCGTGAGCTTGTGGAGAGAGAGTGAACTGTGTGACGTCACACTGAGTAAAGAGAAAAGATGCTGTGAACCTGAAAACACACGTAAAAACAACACTTTGAGATGTGTACGTGCATTTGCTTCTATATATGCGTGTTATTTGTCATTTTTATCATTGTTTTTTCTGAAACATGACTTTTTAATCACATCTTGAGTGTTGTATTGCGTTTAATAGTATTCTGTGCTGTAAAATGTTTGGAATAAAATGGCTAAATGCAAAAATCAATGATTTAATACCTATAACATAATTAAAAATTAAAATAATTTAATATGTAATACTATAAATAATTTCCCACAAAATATATATTGAAATGTTATATCATTCTTTGTTTAGATTAGCATAGTTTCTAACATGTAATAATATTTTCATAATTTAAAATTAAATGTATCGGTCTGAGACAAAGGTAAAACAATAAAAACTTTAAATTAATGATGAAAGCGTGATGTAAAGTTTCCAAATGGTTTTAATGTGCCCTTCATTTATACCCCTGAGACACATGGTGCCCGTAACCAAATAAATATGTGTGTGTATATATTGTGATACCTGGTTGTGAAGAATTGATGAGTGTGTTGACGAGTCCTGTAAGATCTATAGAGGCAGGGTCAATGTCCTCTGCTGGGATCTCTGGGTAAATGAAGATTATACTTATTTATACCTATCAGCTATCGATCGGCAAAAACATTAATGCTCTGTAAATTACTCCTAAATCACACACACAGCTGAACCTCATTACCAGTTTCCACCACATTTATCATTTCACATTGACCAAATCATTAGGCCTGAGAAAGTAAAATCATTTTAAATATTCAGTACATGCAATGATTAATAAACAGTTAAACGCCTTCTGTATGGCTTTTTCAAATGTGTATCCGTGTGTTGTACTAGAGCTGTGTCCCGTTCTGATTGGTACTTGTCCTCCATGTAAAAGTCTCTGACCTGTGGACATCAGGAGCTCTCGTTTTTCTGTTTGCATCCACTGGCTTTGTCTAGAAAAAACTGAAACATACATATTGTTTACCTCTTGACTAGCAGATAAATGAATGCAATGTTTGTATTTTTATTTGTATTCTTCATTTACCAACCTTGTGCATAAATAAGGAACAGAGCTACTATGACAGCGCAGATTCTGATGCTGATCCAATGTTTTAGTTTGAGATTAGCCATCTCTGCAAAGCAAAAACGTTTTTTTTAAAACACTGAAACTATGAACAACAACTTTTCAAAGATTGTAGACTATATATGCACCTGTTTCGCATACCTTAATAAATTACATATATCTAGTCAACAAAAGTGTTAATAGTAATGAGAACATACATTATACACAGTGAGCCAAGGTTATTAACTGATTTTTAACTATTAACCGTCATTGTTAAATAAAATTAAATATAAATATTAGCTGAAAAGCACCTTAAGGTTCACTATGAAAGTTTTTTGTGTGAGTGTGTGTTAAAAATGATCAAAATTTAAATGAGGCAATACATCAATCCTTCTTCCAAAACGTGTTTTTGTTTTACCCCGATTTATATTTTAGATCTGGCTGACAGGATGTTTTTTTCGCGCGGGAAATTGCATACATAGGTCACTCGCTCGAGTGTGTTTCGTCATATCCGAATTATCACCAGTTAAAAACAAAAACAGAACAGATAAGAGTCTGCTGGCAAAAAGACAACATGACAGAGTTTGTAAAAAAGAAAAACAACACTGGCTTGGCTTTAAGGCGCAGAAATTGTGATTTTATTACACAGCAGGTGAGTAAGGTATTTTATTGAAACGATAAAGCTCTTTAATAGAGTTCATTGTAAAGCATAAGCCTATCTATTGTGAAGGCCGCACAGTCACGCAGGCAGAGCCGAAGCACAACCAAAATAATGATCTTCTGCAAAATGTATGCAGTTTTGTTTTTTAACCACTAGAGGGCTAAAAGTTACAGTTATTGGTTGAAGCAATAAAATAATTTACTGAAAATAAATGAAAATAAAAACTAAATAAAAATGAAACCCATATAGCAATATATACATGACAAAAGCACATAACAGAATTATTCAAAAAAAAAAATTAACTAAAATAAAGATGAAAAATAAAAATATATGAATAAAAGCTAATTCAAAATATTACCACAACTATAATAAAAATAGAATTCCATGGTTATTATTAAATTTAAGCTGGCATATTTTTTTTAATAATATGAAATTATAAAACATCAAACATTCAATACCAAGTAGGCAATAGCTATAAATAATGCAGAAGATATGCTAAGACAAAAACGACTGCTTATACATACATTTTAAAAATAGTTTTCAGAAATAATTAAAGTGGAATGAAATGATCAGAAAAGATCAGATTGTTGTTGCTGCTTCTATTTTTGCCTCCTCGTTGATTTCTGACTCCGGTGTGGACATGCATGTGGATTTGTGAAATAAAGCTAAGGCTCTTTGTTTGACAAGATTTCACAATTCTAATTAATTTCCACAGAGAGTGGATCAGTCACTGCAAACTCAATTAGCCTCTATCAGCGGCTCTTCTCTAACTCTCTACACAGATCATGATGTTCACAAGTTAAAATGAGCAAATAACATTAAAGATGAAAGACCTCATTAGTAACGGCACAACAGCACCAGCTCAATCCTCTAGAGAAATTTAGCTACAAAAATCCTTTTAACGCCAGTGTGGAACAGTTACCGTCAAAATGTTTAATCTTTCAGTTCCATCAGATTTAACCTTTTTAATGCCTGCTGTAATTATAACACAAACTGAGAGAGAGAGAGAGAGAGAGAAGGGAGAGTAATATTTTTTCTTTAAAACATGATTTTTCTGTGTGTAAAGTTGGTCTGAACGCAGACATTTACCTTCAACAAATTTGTGAAATCATTTTCCCTGAACCTTTTCTTAAACCTAGTTTCTTTCAGTAAAATGGAAAATAAATTAATAAATAAATGTATTATGTATTAAGTACACTAATTCAGTGCAATAAAAAATATACAAAGATGAATTAACTGCATTTTTAAAATTTCCACAAAGACCGAATTATTAATCCAAACTAAAATTTCACTGTTCATAAAAAAAGAAAAATATCGAAATAATAAAACTAATACATAACAAAAAAGCATGTGTACGACATTAAAATTAGCTACATTTTCAAAGTGCATAAGCTGAAACGGTGAGTGTGTGAGGAAGAGTGTGAACTAAATAAAAACCCCACACTCACCTGCAGAAGAGAGACGCAAACACCGCAGGACACAGACAGCCGTCTGCTCGCTGTCCGCTGTCTCTCACACACTCACACACAGAACCAGCAGGGCATCATGGTCCCTGGAGAGGGCAGCAGGCTGTAATAGCTCTCCAGTGTGTCACCTGAGCTCAGCTGGCAAACACAGACGACCTGCTCTCAAACCAGCACACACACACACACACACAGATACTCTCACAGATATAGAATCGTTCTCTCTTTCTCTCATACACAAAGAAACTCACACAGATATAGATTCTCTCCCTCCTGCTAAATGTAACACACAGTTATGCAAACCCACACACATGCATTTCATAGATGCAGTTTTTCTTATACAAATGTGATTTCCAATCATTTTACACATCCTAAAGAGCCAGTTTTGGGCGTTTCACTATAGTTGTAGACATTTGACCAAATTATAGTATAGCTTGTCTCTCTACTGAATTTGACACTTGCGCACACATTTGGCCTCTCTCTAAACATGAAAATCACATGTCCTGTATATGCTGCTAACCTGCTCTTCTTATGCACTCTGTCCTGTTTGGCAGCGTATGGTTTCTGGGACAGAGCAAGGCATGGGAAACTCTGTTGTCCTGGAGACCAAGAACTAGGCAGCGGGCCATTCCCACAACAACCCCTTTACAGATCTGCTTGTGTTCAGCACAATATTTCCACCTATATTCTGTTATGGTAACTCTATACTGCACTTGAATTCAGGCTCTTTGGTGACCAGAAACTGCTGATTTTTTTTTTTTAATGTGATCATGATTAGTACTGGATGCTTAATCCCATTACTGTTTTACATTTTTCTATTTAATTTCACTTAATTTATTTACTTTTTATCTATCTCGCTCTCTATATATATACACACACACACACATACTTATTGGCTGCACTACAGTATATGATGATTAGTATATGATCGCTATCATTCGTTCAACTGCTATTAAACTACTATTCAAGCCCGATAAGATGCAAAAAAGTACTTTATTTCCAATTTGTCTGTGTATCTTCTGTCTATGTGACAGACACACACAGAACAGAAAGCTGCTTCACACGAATTGAATTTTCTTTCTTGAACGGACAAAAGCACACAAAAGTATGACAAAAAGCCAACTGTGGAGTATCCTCGTAAGCACAGTCTTAAATTAGTTAAATAAAGTCTAAAATGGCCGTAAAGAGTTGTGAGGACATCGGATATATGTCAGAGAAAATCACTCGCTGCTCTTGACTGAGTAACTTTTGTAGCTTTAAAGGTACAATATTTAGGAATTTTGTAATAAAATATCCAAAAATCACTTGCACAGTGTGATATATATTTCCTGCAGTTGTGTACTTACAATATCCCAAAAGTCTCCGTAGATTTTTTGATTCCAATTTTAAATGAGTGGCCGTCCCGGAAAAAAAATGTTGCCTGCCAATGACGCAATGTCTCGGTTTTCGCTCGTACTGCCATTCTGCATATAATTTATGCCATGACGTAACCATGGCGACAGACGTGGACAACTGCGTAGTGCGTAACGTTTAGCTGCACGCGGTTGTTGTTTTGTTCAAACATTATGGACCATGGCAAGCAGACTTTGGGACAAAAATGGAGAACTACAATGAGGATCAATATCAGCGGTGCGTTTTCGAGATGCCTACCCATAGCGTCATCAAGCTTCACCTTTTTTGGTAACGGCGTCCTCTTGTGGCGAAAAATTCCTACATATTGTTGTACCTTTAATGAGGATTAATCTACATTAAAATGATAATTTATGCAGTGAAAATTGTGAAGTTTGATAATTTTTCTGTACAGGCCTATTTCCTACCTGTTAGATCAATTATTTAAAATATGCTGTGGTGTATATATACTGTTTATATATGTTGTTTCTAATTTGGAAATGATATGTGAAATTATTACAATATAAAAATTTGTAATGTTTAACTTAAATGTTACATTCTCAGAAAAAAAGGTACAAAAGCTGTCACTGGGGCTGTAAACTTTTGTCCATTTTAGGTGCTAATATGTACATTTTAAGTGTTAATATGTACATTTTAGTGATAATACGTACATTTTAGGTGCTAATATGTACATTTTAAGTGTTAATATGTACATTTTAGTGCTAATACGTACATTTTAGGTGCTAATATGTACCACTAATGTACCAATATGCAGCCTTTTTTTGGGTACAAAAATGTACCTTTTGAAAAGGTACAGCCCTAGTGACTGCTTTTGTACCTTTTGTTCTGAGAGTGTAGGTGCAATTATTCATGATTAATTACAATCGATTAAAAAAATAATTAGGAGATAATGCATAAAATTAAAATATATATATATATATATATATATATATATTTCATTAATTTCATTATATTTTATTACAATTTCAAATTGTAATAAAATACTTCACATGTTCATTGTTTAGAGACATAAACTACTTATAATTAAACAAGAACAAACGGCAACATTTATTTTAATATACTTTATTACTAACTGGTGCAATTTGAAGATTTAACATAAAAAATCAAGTTCATCATAACATTTGCATATTATCTCATCAAATCAAACTATTAAAACTGGCCTTGACCAGAATGTAAATAAAGATTATTATTCAAAACTGGAATGAATATAAGAGCTTAGAAGGCCACTAGTGTGAAATCATTTCGTCTGAAACCAAAAAGAAGAGAGAACTAAAACATCTTTTGTTGGGTCTTTAAAAGGAAAATACACAACCGAATAGGTCCTAGTAAAATGAACAGACGCTTCACTGATACCACTGAGAGCAAAACGATTATGGATGGCCTAAAAAGCAAAATGATGGCAGGTTTGATTCATGATGGAGAGAACGTAATGGGTGGCAGAGAGGGACTGGTGCTCTAAAAGGCCAAGGCACAAACAATAAACAGCAGTGTCTCTGTGTACATCAGAATAGATAGACAGCAGTCAATATAGTCAGACAGGAAAAGAGATAGCAGTCATTGCAGTTAGGTAATAATAATACTAATGGGCAGCTGTATTTGGTCTGAGATAATAATTGACAGTTTTTAGTCTGAGAGAAAATGAAGAGAGATAAATAATGGGCAGTTTATTAGACTGATAAGTGACTGAAAGGTTTAGTTTAGGATGCTAATGGACAACAGTACATGTTAACAGTGGACACTTGTGCTTTAGTGACTAGTTTAAAATAGATTTCGTTTGAGATCACAAACATGAGTTTAGGTGCGTTCACACAATGTTGGAATTACGTGATTCTGACTTCATTCATGTCCTTGTAGAACTCGCAAAATACAAAACTTGTAAGATGAGAATTTCTGAGAGCTCTGACTTGTACCACATGACCTCTGCAGATACATTTTTGGCGTTAATAGTCCAAGTCCAGCAAGTACATGAACATCTCTGAGTAGAACGTCACAGGTGCAGAACTTGATTTCGCCAAATACATAATGTTCCTGGATCATTGTTCCTGAATGTTGTTCCAAGATCAACAGTAGCACCTCATTGTTAGTACAGGAGATCTAGGGGGCGGAGTCGGATCCAGATCTGAGGGGTGGAGTTGGGTGGGTTTAGGGATTAGGAGGTGGAGTTGGGTAGGTTTAGGGGTGGGTTTAGGGATCAGGGGGTGGAGTTGGGTAGGTTTAGGGGTGGGTTTAGGGATCAGGGGTGGAGTTGGGTAGGTTTAGGGGTGGGTTTAGGGATCAGGGGTGGAGTTGAGTAGGTTTAGGGGGGATCAGGGGTGGAGTTGAGTAGGTTTAGGGGTGGGTTTAGGGATCAGGGGTGGAGTTGAGTAGGTTTAGGGGGGATCAGGGGTGGAGTTGAGTAGGTTTAGGGGTGGGTTTAGGGATCAGGGGTGAAGTTGGGTAGGTTTAGGGGTGGGTTTAGGGATCAGGGGTGGAGTTGAGTAGGTTTAGGGGTGGGTTTAGGGATCAGGGGGTGGAGTTGGGTAGGTTTAGGGGTGGGTTTAGGGATCAGGGGGTGGAGTTGGGTAGGTTTAGGGATCAGGGGTGGAGTTGGGTAGGTTTAGGGGTGGGTTTAGGGATCAGGGGGTGAAGTTGGGTAGGTTTAGGGATCAGAGGGTGGAGTTGGGTAGGTTTAGGGGTGGGTTTAGGGACCAGGGGGTGGAGTTGGGTGGGTTTAGGGATCAGGAGGTGGAGTTGGGTAGGTTTAGGGGTGGGTTTAGGGATCAGGGGTGGAGTTGAGTAGGTTTAGGGGTGGGTTTAGGGATCAGGGGGTGAAGTTGGGTAGGTTTAGGGATCAGAGGGTGGAGTTGGGTAGGTTTAGGGGTGGGTTTAGGGATCAGGGGGTGGAGTTGGGTAGGTTTATTGGTGGGTTTAGGGATCAGGGGGTGGAGCTGGGTAGGTTTAGGTATATGTAAGGTGGGAGGAGTTGGATCTGGATCTGACTCCTCCCCGTGGATTTCATGTTCTGCAGTGAGGACCATCTCAAGATAATATGCTGACTCAGGAACACGTCTAACTTGGCAAAATAAGGATCTGCGTCACAGTTTGTCTAACTACAGTAATTGCAACATGACAATGAACACAGCATAAAATGTAAGGATTGATGCCAGTGTTCAGTCTGGGATGATAACGTGAAACAGGGTCAAGTCACATGATCGCAGGTTTACAGGACATTTAAAGGGATAGTTCGCCAAATGTCACATAAAAAATTGCAGAGCACAAAAAAGATTTTGAAAATATGTCTGTTTTGTACAGAGCCCTGCACATGACATGCAGACAAAATATATCGTGGTCACGAATGAATAAATCGTTCACTCATTTTAATTCAGTCGTGGCCACGAATTAAGAATTTGTTCCCACGACTTAGTAATTTGGTCCGTCGTTTTGATTTAACTAAAACAAGGGAACGATTTATTACAACGTGGCCATGGTTTAGTAAAACGAGGGATCAAATTATCATATCGTGTGAATGAGTTACTTAAAATTAAGGAATAAATTATTAAAAGTGCTGACGTATTAGTAAGTCGTGGGAAAAAATGGTTAATTCATGGCCACAATACACATACTGTTTTTCCCACATGGCTCTAGTTTTGGATTTTCATTGCATGTAATACAATGTATGAATGCATGAATACAAAATACAAAAACGTTCTTATTTTGGACAAAATATCTAAGTTTTTGTCCACAGAAGAAAGTCACATTTTCAAAAGATGAACTATCTCTTTAAGTATCAAACATCATACTAAATCTCATATTACTGCCTTGACCTCATCATAACCCTAGGCTTTTAGCAAGCAGAAAAACACAGAGAAGGAAAGGATTGAAGGATTGATTATGACTTCTGTTCTCTGAATTCATGGTCTTGATTGTTACAGATTTACAGCTGCTACTGTATTTATGTACTAAATATCTCTCAAACCCTAAATTAATGTGTAGCATTATTTCACATTTGTGCAATTTAAGGAGATTTACTGAGCATCAAGTCCCTTGAGTCAAAGGTAAATGAGATGGTGAATAAAACTATTTCAAACGATGCCGATGGAAATTATGACAACCCTGACTGGAACAACTTGACCAGCTGTTCGACTCTACACTTAATTCACACTGGACTTGACAAATGACCCGAACCTCAGATTAATCTGCTTTAAATTGATCTAAATCTAGACATACTCGGTTGATTAGAGACTAAATAAACAGTGATATTAAATCTATACACTGTCAATTGTAAAACAAATAAATTAAAATAATTAGATATTAAAGGGAAGTAGATATGTATAACCAATAACCTTGGGGCAGGGTTGTTAGTTAAATAAAACTAAAACCATAAAAAAATAAAAAATAAATTTGTTGCTTGAAATAAAATAAGCATTATCGAAATAACATCAAATATTTAAAAACGTGTTTTATTTCAGCTAGTTGCAAAGGCAACATTTCTAAGTTTCAAAATAGAAAAATAAAAACAATTTCAAAATATTAATAAAAACTATAATAATATCTTAGTGATCCTAAATAACACTTGACCTAGGGAAGAACTGACGTTGATTAAATTGATTTAATGTAAATTCACATTTGAACAGTGAATTTACGCAGGATCTGAACAACGTGAAACCTTTTGGAAGACCTAAGTATATTTTTTGGAGTAAACTTATTCAGTAAGTGTGACTACTAATTACTGTAATTTGACAGATAAACTGATCAGAGTTAAAAAAAAAAAATATTCTTAAATAAAGTGTGCCAAGTTCCCACAGTCAAGTTCTGTCTTTCCCTGGAATGATTTGTGTGATGGATGTAGGTTTACCCTAAGAAAGCTGTGGTTGCAATGGGAAAGTTGGTCCTACGTTACAGTGTCAATATTTTTGAGCTGGCAGTTTTATGTGCCGCTCACAGATGGGATGTGCTCATTGGTTGGGTTAAGGCCAGACACTTGAGGAATTGATAACTGAGGCTTTGCTTTTGGTCCTTAAACAGCTAGTGGTGACGTTCATTCTGCGGAAAATATGCAATATATCCCAGAGTGCAGTTCATGCTGACCAGAGTAAAAAGATTTGTACAATCTGCAAAGGGAACTAAAAACAAGCTCAACATGTGCAGAGAAAGAAGCTAGCGCGAACGTTCTCTCGTATTCAAAATGAAAGCAAGTGCAAACCGGAGGAGACGTCGATACATTTAGCTGCTCCGTGGATGAATCATGCAGTCCATGCATATGAAAAGATATGTAAATAGAAAAATAAATGTTTACAAAAATGGCATAGCATCTGTTGTGTTCTCCTCCCTTAAAGTTCCCAATCAAATACAACCACACAGTCTCGATCTGCCAAGTGCAGTGTCTACCACTAGATAAAACGCATGCATTCCATGCAGTGCTCTTTGCTTTGCAGTAGGGCTGCACGATATTGGAAAAAAATGACATTGCGATATTTGCCTTTACTGCTGTATGTTGCAATATGAAAGGATTTGGAACATAGGGATGTTCACCAAATGGCTATATTTGGAAAGAATTATTTATTCTAGAATGAGTAGAGTGATTTTGTTGGGGAGTGCAAAATAGAAATCATTTAAAAAGCTGTAAAATGATTCCTTTTAACGCTTTTTAAATTTGAGTGGTTTACTCAGTACAATAACACAAACAGCTTTCAATAAATAAGTTTAAAAATATATCTTTCCACTAGTGTTTGCATAGGGCACATTCCCACTGTTTTGACCAGTATTATTCAGTGTACAATAATAATAATACGTATTTTTGGCTGTGATTATTATTAAATAATATATTAAACAAAACATGTATATTGTAACTGTTGCACACTAAAATAAGAAATCGACCATTTAATACAAATACACATTTTTTTGAAACTCTAAAATTAAGGTCGGCATGAAACAAAAGTTGCGATAGACTTTTATTCCCGGTTGTGATATATATCCGAGTGAAATAAATAAATAAAAATGTAGGGCTGGACTTGATTTGATGGTTATGGTTTGCTGTTGATGTGATGTCATGTGAGTGACAGGTTATTGTCCCGCCCTCATGCCAGTAAGCACATCATCAGAGAAGTGATGTTGTGAAGTTATTTTGATTAAAGATTATGAGTCACATGAATAATAATGATGTGCACAGATAAATCATTTATAATAAATACTGCAATATTTGATAATAAGATTTATCAATTTTGATTTCATGGTGACTTACAACTTTTTTTCTTTGTTGCTGTAAAATTACAATACTAATATTTACGTCTTAATTTCTTTATTTTTAAATGTAAACCATCAAGTTTTTATTTTTGACGGGGCTGGCAAGTAGCATGTGTATTTATTTAATGAAATGAAATTTGAAAATCGCACTAAACCATTTTGCGATATCGATTTTATTTCAATATATCGTGCAGCCCGACTTTGCAGGGGTAAAGCGTGAAGTGGATACATATTTAGATATGACGAGTATTATTATGTCTGTGTCTTTATGTGTCATTTTGTGCTGTACAAAGTCTGTAGTCTTTATAAAGAGTGTGTGTGTGTCTTTAGGGTGGTGTTCCCCACGCTCCATCGGATTGGAACCCGTCTCCGGTGGACGAGGGTGCAATGGGTCCGCTGGGGGTAAAGGGATCAGAGTCCGAATCTGTCTCGCCCTCCGCTAAATATCGGCGATCGCGACCCCAGCTCGACCCCGTCGTTAACCCCGAGGCCTTGCCCGTGACCTCCTCTTTCTCAGCGGAGATGCTGAACCCACTGGGCGAACGTTCCAGCTCCTCGTGAGTGACCGACAACATTGACAGCGGCGTCCCCACCCTGTGGCCTCCTGATTGGCTGACGTTGGAGGACGGGGAGTGGCTTGGCAGTGGGCTGATGGGTAGGACGGTTGGTCTCAGTGGGTGCGTGTTGGATTGCGTGTAATACGGTGTATTGTGCAGCGGCGGGCCGTAGCTGCAGAACACGCGGTCGCCTGCGACGCTGACGGTCAACGTGGGGTCGCAGCGCTCCATGGCCATGTGGCCGGGGCCCGTGACATCATGTTGCATATGCATATCCACCAGGAAATCCAGTTTCTTCTCCATGTCTTCCACCTGTGAGGGTGGTGCGACAAAGTTTAGCCAAACAATTCATTAAGGCACAAAACGAGCTGTCAGAGTGAGTGAGTACCTGTCTCTCGACTCGCACAAATCTACCCATCATGCTTTGGTCTTCAGGATCTGGCAGGCTTGCTTTGGCAAGATATGACTCATGTCTGAGAGGAAAAAGTCCGAAAGAAAGTAAATCTGAATGAAAGAGTTCATACATACATTTTAAAAACATCAAAAATTCAGCAACAATATAGGCCATAATGCATAACATGGATTTATGGAATGTTTAATAACATGATTTATGACACAATTCTCCCCCACCAATCTGTGTTTTCACCATTATATGGTAGATGGCTCTATAATGCATCTTCTGAAAGAGGACAGAATCTCTGGATTTTTTTCCAAAATGTTTTTTTTTTAAATAATCTTACCCACTTTACTCACAACTTAGAAAAAAAAAAAAAAAAAAAAAAATATATATATATATATATATATATATATACACTGTATATACAGTATATACACACACACACACACGTGTATATATAGTATTTTTTTTAAAAGCAGAGGCTCTTGTCTTTCCTTTGGTATGCTGTATGTTCAGACATTCTCACAACAAAATATTCCTGGGGCCATGAAATTTTTGTGAAGATGATCGAAAATGCTGGAGCTGGCTGACAACTTTTTTTTAAAAAAGAGTTAAAAGTTAATAATAATGTTGTTATATTCCTTGAAGTATTTTTAGGTGTGATTTTACCTAGGTGACTGCTGTGAGGGGTACGGAAAAGGTGGTTTCTGGGGTTTCTTGTGTTTTGGAGTGAGAGGCGGTCCAGGTGTCAGAATCATATCTATTCTGAAGATGAAACAAAAACAAATATTAGATTGTTTTTGTTTTGTCTTTTACACAATATAAAAATAAGAATATATATTTCAGTTTAAATGACGCAAGTGAACAATTTGAAATGAAAAAACAACAACAACATAACTTTATAGAATATTTCTTTAAAAATATGAGTATGTTTTAAATGTGTGTGCGTTACCGTGTCTGTAGATATTTGATTCTGGTAAGCATGTCCAGATGTCCTGCAGAATACTGCTCAATCACGTCCTTTACATCATACGGCCTCAGAGTCTCCTTAAAACGCTTCTTACTCAACAGGAACATTATGATCCTTCAACACAACACACAAATTAAATTTAAAATCCTAAAATCTTGAGTTTCGCTTAGTGTTTGCATGTACACTGCTGTTCAAAAGTTTTAAGTGATGTGACATTGTAATTAAAAATAACTGTTTTTTATTTGAATATATATTAACCTGTACTGTAGAAGTCTTCAGTGTCACATGATACATCATCTGAATATGATGTATCATGAAAAAAACTGAAAAAGCTCAAGAAAAAAAATCGCATTTTCATCAGTTGAAAAATATTGTTTGTAAAAAAAAAAGTGATAGTTTTTTTTTAGGATTCTTGATGAATAGAATGTTAGAAAGAACAAATAGAAATCTTTTGTAACATTATAAATGTCTTCCACATTTTTTAATATAAGTATAGTGATCCAAACAATATCAAGTTGATGCATTCTTGCTGAAGGAAAATACTAAATTCTTTAAAAGAACTTACTGGCCCTAAAATTTTTAACGGTAGTGTACACTTGGACTGTTTAGCAGTAGACAAAATAAGATGATATTTGTATACCGCAGTGCTCTTATTACTAATTTGAGAGTTGGAATCATCTCCTCCAACAGTATGTCAGGTGGGAAGCCCTTCTCCTCAGGGGTGGGGTCAGGAAGACCACCTGTATCTACAATCAAACACCAAAACCAGGTCAGGGTTACAAACTTATATAAACAGGGTTATACAAACTTACTGTATTTTATCTATTATTATAGTGTACATATTTCTAAGATTGTTTGTGTGAGTGTGTGTATATATATATATATGTGTGTGTGTGTGTGTCGTACCCTCTGAACTCTGTCTCAGGGAGTAGGCCTTCATTCTGAAAGCAGTTCTGAATCGCTCTCTGTTACTGAACCCTCCTGGTTTGCCCTCTCTTGATGGACTCTCCTCAATCGCCTCCGCCAGCCCGCAGTTTCCCGACACGCTTTCAGGATTCGCAGCGGGCATCATCACACGGGCTCTTACTGTTGATGGTCTCGGTGTCGACAGCCGCACGCGTTCCAACAAACTCAATTTCTGACTGATGAAAATACAGAATAACAGATTATTTTTTATTTATTATGCTTATCATTTTGTAATTCTAATTGTGTATTCTCAAAAGACAAAAAAAATCTCTTTTTCTCTGTTTGAAATGGGAGAAGAATGGATGATGATGATGATGATAGCGTCGTACAGTACTAGTCTACAAGTCTAGTTAAAAAAAAAATCACAAAATAAAAGATATTTCCATTTCAAAAGTTTTAAAAAATAGTATTATTTAGCAAGGCTGCATTAAATGGATTAATAGTGAATATGTATATAATTTCACATACAATTTCTATTTCAAATAAATGCTTCTTTTGAGCTTTCTTTTCATCAAAGAATCCTGACAAAATGTGCACAAAAATATTAAACACACCTGTTTTCAACATTGGTAATAATAATAAATGTTTCTGAGCAGCAAAATATTATATTATAATGATTTCTGAAGGATCACGTGACACTGAAGACGGGAGTAAGGATGCAGAAAATTCGGCTTTGTCATTACAGGAATAAAATGTATTTAAAAACACAGCATATCAAAATATGAAACAGTTATTTTAAATTGTAATACTATTATTATAAGATTATTAATGTTTTAATGTATTTTTGATCAAACATAAAATCTTTCTTTCAAAAAACATTAAAAAATCTTACAGACCCCAAACTTTTGAATGATGTTTATTACAGTAGATCTTTTAATTAAGTGGGCCGTTGAGGCTGTAGAGCAAACATCAAGGTGTATCTTGACAAACCTTACTTTTCTAGTTTAATATAAGTGTGTATGTAAGCAGTAGGTCTATGCATAGGTGTGCAGGACCCTATAAGCATCTGTCTTAATGCGGCCACGGCCACACACACACACACACACACACACACACACACACACAAACTCTGCCTGCAGGAGAAACTAAACCCTTCCAAAGAAACAACGCAGGGCATTCTACTGTGAAGGGTCCCCAAGGATGGGCACACACACACACACACACACACACACACACAAACATATACAGACTTTGCACTGCAGCACACACAGTATCTCTTGAGTACAGTGAAAAGAAGAAGATTGAAGTGGTGAGAGGGACTGAAAAATCTTAAAATGCTCCACAATTACAGCTGATTACCAACCAGTTACTGATACAACACTTTCCCACACACACACACAAAACACAATCTGTCTACACTCGATTCAAACTGTCTGAGAGGGTTTTAATGATTGAAAAATGACTCTGTGTGTTTACAGTGTGTGTGTGTGTTGTAGAGAGGAGCTTATTGGACATACAGAAAAGCAGTGAAAGCTTGAGAACAGACAGGAAGAGAATCAACGCATAGATTTCACATGAACGAATGAATGGAGCAAAATATCAAGAGCTACTTAACAGTGCGTGTATGATCCAGTTTCTCCATTTTGGACTTGTTTTAGTAGGTCATTGATAATGTCAGGCTGCAGGTTTCCCAGCTATTTGCCTTTGCCTTTGTGTGTGTGTGTGTGTGTGTGTGTGTACCAGAAGGTCAGGCTTTGCTTACATTTTGGGGACAAAATGTTCACTGAGATCTGAAATCTTCTACACACTAAATAAACTTTTAATGAAAATGCAAACCTGTAGAAAGGTTTGTGTAAAGGTTCAGTTTAACGGATATATAAAAAAGGAAATCATACGAAATTCTGATTTCACTTAAAAATATATATTATTGATTCTTTTACTGAATGTTTTTTTAAAGGTGATCTTAATCAATAATTAGTCTCAACTAATCATAAATGCTAAACAATACAATACTTTGGTACAGAGCCCCTAATGGAACATTGTGATGGAAAAAATGAGATGGGAGAAAAAATATATATATTTCAGTGATTTTAACTTTTATGCATTCCCCAAGAAACTTTGTTCTTTGCAAAATTTTCCTTTAAAAGTTACTTTTATTACAACAAAACTCTGTTTAGAATGTGTATTCAACTACATGTTGTCATATTAACAACCACTCAATAATTACACTGACTTAAGTGAATCATTTTGACAGATTCGCTAATAAGAATCAGTTCATAAGAGTCGTTTGTTCCAAAATTGGACTACACTCCACTATGTGCACAATGCTAGAAAGCTGTGTTGTCTGTTTATTGTCTTTGTATTGTATCAAAACAAACATCAAGAAAAGGAGAAACTAGTTCTTGATTCACAACCTTAGGTAGATAAAATGGTACAAAAAGTAATAGAAGTGAATGATAAGTCCTTGTCATAATAAAAAAGCAAATGTGTTGGACTTGTTTGGTAGGTCACTGACAGTGAGAATGTCAGGCTACAAGCTTCCGAGCCAACTAGTCTTGCGTATGTGAATGTTTGCGTAGGTGAGTGTTTTGCACTATGTATTAGCAGTATTAATGTGTAATCTGATCTCTGATCTGGATTGAACATGGATTACAGGTCTCGGGTCAGGCAACACAAACAAGCACAGCACTCATTATTCCAACTCTCCCACTGTTTCTTTCAGTAAATCTCCCGTCTTTTAATAAACGGTCCGTCAGGCCAGTGTCCAGGTCAAGGACAACTGATGCTCATGATTATTATATATGCAATCCATCTTTGTCAAGGCTCATCATGCTTAGACCGATAATAACACTTCCCATCATTTTCCTTAGTGACACGGACGTCACAGATCCAGCCGTCCATTAAATTCTCCCACACACACTCGCAAGTCCTCTCCCTCGCTCGGCTCTGACACCATCATCTATCAGTGATCCATAATTCACTCTTTTCTAATGGACTCTGTAATATCACATATAGCACTACTGTCCATATGTCCCCGAACTAAGAAACGAACACACACACAGAAACGCACTGCTGGTCATTATGCCTTTGGCACTGAATTAATGGAGGTGGTGGTTATTAGGAGTTATTTAAGGAAACACATTTCACAGACTCATTAATCTCACACTTCACAGAGATACTGTAAATCGTTAAAACAGTGAGCGAGAGACACAGGCAATGAGAAAGACAGAGAGAGAGAGGGACTTACCTAGCCATAACTTCAAGAGGGTCCTTCCTGCAGATGACAGGAACAAGACAAACATTTAGTTTGAGATAACTCTTGTGACAACATCAACAAAAAAACTTCATTCACAAATAAACCGAATATTCACGTATACATCTATATACATATAGTTATTCTTGTGGCTGAGTCTGACCTTATTGCATATTGCATTTGTAAGAGTTTCCCTTTCCCAAAATTTATGGGAGGAGAGAATGTAAATGAATCACACAACGCGATTTACTAAGGTTTGCACTAGTCAATTTACTGGTAGTTTTGCACCATTATTTAATGCCCAAAAAGCATGTCTTAAACCAGATGCTAATCTGCTCTACTCTAATAGATTGCGTTGGTCATTGTGAAAATTTAATGTGCGCATTGTCAGTAAATCACCTGCAAAACTTTCCACTCTCATCAACGCTGTTATGGGATTGTGCTCTCACACTAATTTACCCTGTTTAGTAATTATGGCCTAATGTGTGTTAATATGTAAATTATCAAAAAAGCACCAGTTTTCACTACTGAAATTTTATTTCACACAATGAGATTTGAATATGATTGAATAGGGCTAATTTATTACAAATATTTTTATTGTTGTTGTTTTAATCCCATCTGCTGTTCAGGAAAGCGTTTTTTTTTTTTCATTATGAATAGTAAATTGTTCACACACAAGTGTGAGTACCTCACAGTAACCTGTAGTAGACCTCTAGATGATGCTGTCTCTGCATGCAGACAAACACACATATGGACATAAACATAACAAATGAACATTAAAGAGATGGCAGAAATCATGAGAATAACACAAGTGAAATCATGAGTATGTATTCACCAAAATTATAAAAATGCAGAAATAATGATAAAGACAAACATAAAGTTAAGCAAACTAAAATAAGACATACATACCAAGATATTCAAATGAAATTTAATGTGAGAGATGTAGTGTATGTGTATATGATACCTGAAGCATGGCAGAGAGATCACAGTCTCATAAAATCTCCATGTGGCGATGAGATCATCTCTGACGGGGTTGGTGGAGTAGTATCTCCATGCAGCCTGAAAACAGTAATAAACAGTGAACGTTAAGCAAATGTGCCATTGAGGAATGGTACACTTACTGCTAATGTTAGTTTATAGCCAATGGCATGTTTCTGGTTACCTGTATTAGTGAAGCTGCAGGATGTCTGCGTTTCTCAAAGTGTTTCTGCCTGTGCTGTTCCTGCACTTTCAGAGCCAGTCCAGAACCAAGAATCCCCTACAAACATAACCAGATACACTTAGGCTGTTTTTGAAATATACCACTATCATACTGAACCAAGAAACAGTTTCCATGTATTTTTTTAAAAACACAAACCAAATGATTTTAGGTTTCTACAGCGCAAAACATACAGCGAGAGCAGTGTAGTCCATTTGATTCCAAAACAAATGACCTTTATGAGTTGGTTCCCTTTAGTGGATCAGACACATACAGCTTACAACTTACTGTACTTATTTTGTCCATTAGATCAAAAGATCTGAAAAAACATACATTTACACGCCCATAGACAATCCCTTCAAAGAAATCAGGACAGAAGTGGTCGAAAGTGGACAAAAGAGACGGTTTAAATAGGGGAACGTGTCTCCCTCGTCTCCTTGGTTTTTCGATCGACCAAAACTTAATACCAGGTGTAAACAGGGCCATGGTGTAAATGTTGAGCTGTACTCACGGCTGGAAGAGCAAAGAACGACACACCGATAAGAGCGAAGGTCCCGGCCAAAAGACGTCCTGCCCATGTCTTTGGGGTCTTGTCACCGTAACCAATGGTTGTCAAGGTGATCTGTAAATCATATATCATCAGTGTGATAAAGGCTAGCATGGCTAAGAGGCTATCAAGGTACTTGAGTTGTGTAACCATTAAAAGGGTAGTATTAATGGAGCTGTCGTTAACGTCAGGAAAGGAGCTGCTGTAAAACCATCACAATCAGTAGTACTAATGGAACTGATGTAAAACCTTCACGAATGGTAGTGTTAATGGAGATGCAAATGGAATTACCTTACATTTAAAAAAATGTAATAAAAAAAAAACCACGATGGTTCCGTTTCTAATAAATCGACTTTAGCTTCTCAACATGGAGGAAAGCTTTTATACATGTTTACCATAGCAGATAAAATCACTGAATAGGTGCTTAGAAATGTCAAGAGTAAGCATGTTTTTTTATACAAATTTATTTTTGTGGAGTTTTCATACATTCACTCTTCAAAAGAATTGATGCAGGTTTCGTACAAACTTTAAAGTAGCCATCACATCACACTTTTGACTCTTATTTTTCTTTAAAGGGTTGTGTTACAAGAATTTCTTTTTATTTCAATTCATATTCATTTTTACTTCCTTCCACATGCAGGGCATGGCAGTGTAAGCATTTAATTCACAGTCGTGACTAATAATAGATGTGTGCTAACTGTAAAATTATTTAGGAGCAGTGCTTGTAAGTAACTTATTAAATGTAATCTGGATTACGTAATACAAGGGCGCAGATGGCACTGGGGACGGGGGGGACATGACCCCCCCCCCCCACAGATTCATAGTGACCCGATCCGTCCCCTACCCTCACTATCCCGACGAAAGTCGACAAAAATCGGTAAACCAGAAGAGAACCAGTGTTTTCGCTAGCCAAAGCTATTGTTGTGCGTGCCCCGACCCGATTCTGAAGCAGCGGCGGGCCGGACACACACAATAATAATCTACTACACCGGTCTCCATTACTTTGTACCCATGTTCTCACTACACGCTGTTCTGTTGTCAATAAACACACATGATTCCAAAAAAGAAGTACTTCAATTATATTACATTTTAAAATCCTCATAATCAGACTGCAGTTACTTTTTTTAATGATTACATATGATTACATGTTATTCTCACAATGGAAGTAAATTATTCATATTTCATTGATTTTCCCTACTACTATATTTTTATCATTAAAATGTTCTTTTCTAAACAATAGTTCACTGCTTATATACGTTCATAAGGTCTTCCAAGTTTGTGGAATTGCACTAGTCATGTGACTATCACTAAAAACTGAGAGCCACACCTCAATTGATCACTGCATTAATTTAATTAATTAGTTTTTTTTTTTTATTAAACTCATGAACCCCCTGCAGTTCCATTATGTCTGTAAAACCCTGACAAAATGTTGTTTATAACAAAGAATGGAATACATTTTCTTTCTCTTTGTATTTTTATATCAATATGGTACAAGATTATCTTATTAAAAGTATTTAAAAAAGTAGTCTGAATTATACTACCTTAAATGTACAATGTAATGTATTATGTTACTGACTACAATTATTGTCATGTAATTTGGAATCAGTAACCGGCTACAATTTGTAAATAGTCCACCCAGCACTGTTTTTAGTGTGCAAATAAAAAGTAGGTCTCCAATCTTTTTATTTATTTATTTTTTACTTTAAGGTCAAAGCTATAGACCTTATGCACCAGAGAAACGTGGGCGCCGTCATCTTTAGAATATTGTCTTTGAACTTCCAGTTCTGTATATTTCTATGGCATCGCTGTCGAGGAGTAATTAGCTGGTGAAGTGGATTTACTTATTGTAGAGTTAACAAAAGTTATCATGAGCATTGTAATGTTTATCATAAGCATTGTAAAGCAGACGTCTTAACAAATGTCGACCGGGAATTTTTTTACGAGCAGTTCATTCATTCCTATGCAAGATCGCTGTGAAAATACAGACCGGAAGTCAAAAGACAACGAGCGCAGCACTGAAAAGGGGCGGGGCTACATAAGGTCTATAACAAAAGTCTTAATTATCAGTTAAATCTTAAATCATTTTGTGTGTAAATTACTTCTTGTGTCACTTTATGAACGTATTTGATACATTTTCATTGTGACCCTTCAATTCTTTATGCACTCCTAAATGTTTCAAATACGAGCACATGTGCTCCGTTTGAAGAACTGTTACAATTCATATTCTGCATTCTGTTTGCTCTCAGAATTTGAAATTAATTTGAGAGGCATTCTCATTTCTTAATTCTCAAAAAGTTATGAATGCATGTGAATGCCGTGTGTAATTCTCACCAGTCCCCACCAGAGGGCATCTGCATAGGTGTCAAAGTCCTGCGTGGCTGGTGTCGGGGAGGGGCCGTCAATGTCTGTTAGCTCGGTGGTGAGGTCATCCTTCTCAACCAGGTACACCAGGAAGGATGCCAGGATCAATGACAGGAAGCCAATGTACCACGCTGTGATCAGCTCCTGACCACACACACCAGCCAGAAAACACACACAGTTGTATTGTCTGTGGTACTGATATCAAACTTCTCAAGACACTGATATGCGTTTGTTTGTGCTTACGTATATACTTTGTATGTGTGTGTGTGTATTGCAGACCATAGCAGTTTTCTAGAGATGAGTGTGTTTGCTTTGCAATCTGTGTACATTGCCGACTCCATCGGCTTATATGAGCGCGCTTGACATGATTTAAACGAGCTGGACATGCGTTTGTGTACATCACATCAAGTGTGCGGATACCTTGCTGTGAGTGTATATTGCAGATCCCAGCAGTTTCCAGGTGCCTCCACGACGGTCCATTCGTAGCATCCGAAGGATCTGCAGAAAGCGCAGACTGCGCAGCGACGTGGCCAACACATTTCCCTGGTTACGTACGGCAACCACCGGCACCGAAGCGATCAGCACAAAGATATCTGAGAACATAGAGAGTACTCGTAGTGCACAGGGGGATATACAAGTCTCTTACGGCAGCATTTATTTGATTTAAAAATACAGTAAAATTAATTTAGTTCTGTGATGGAAAAGCAATTCATTCAGTATCATTACTCCAGCCTTCAGTGTCACATGATCAGAAATCATTCGAATATGAAGAAACTCTTCTTCTTATTATCAAAGTTGAAAAAAGTTGTGCTGCCTAATATTTTTGTGCAAACTGTGATACTCTTTCCAGGGTTCTTTGATTAATAGAAAGTTCAAAAGAACAGCGTTTAATTGAAACAGAAATCTTTTGTAACATCATTAATGTCTTTACTGTAATTTTTGATCAATTTAATGTGTCTTTGCTGAATGAAAGTATTCATTCATTTAAAAACGTTTGTACTGTATGTGCATTCGTTCCTACATTTGTGTGTGTTCCCTTGTTAATTTGGGTAAGTGTGTTTTACTCACCCAGGACACACAGCGGTTTGCGGGCGAATTTGAGCCGTCCTCTCCAGCCCTTATATCGGCAGCAGCAGCCGGCGGCCCATATCCTCAAAGCAAACTCACCCCCAAAAATAAAGATTGTAAATGTTTCCTACAGGTGAGAGAAACATTCAGTCATTTTCCTCTCAATCATTCAGTCTCACACACTCAAACTGAACTGACCATGAACAAAAAAAACACACTCACCAGAATCACAAGCCAGTGAGCCGAATCTTCCTCATGCTCTTTGAACGTTGTTAAAATAGACAGAATCAGACATCCCAAAACAATCAGAAACCTAGAGATAAAAAAAACAGAGAGTGAGCATGACCTTAGACCAAAAGATTAAATTCGTGTCACTTCCTGTCACACATACTCTTTATTTACTGTCACTATCAATAAACTAGTTAAAAAGCACGTATATATATATATATATATATATATATATATCTTGAAATTGGTGGGGACGGGGACATCAATATTATTGTTAGAGACATATCAGTGTCACTGGATATATCTTTATCACACTGGACGTCCCTAGCGTCCCTACTAAATTCTACGCCCCTGTTATGGATACGTAAGCTGAGTCATGATATAATCATGTTTTCCGGGAAAGACCAGCAACCTTTAGATATAGACAATCATGATATCGTTTTACCAGCAGAGGGGGCTGGTGAATGTACTGCTCTGCATTAGAGAGAGAGAGATATTGGATATGTCCCACCACACACATCCAGATGCTGAGCTGGCAAGATTTACAAGCTTAATTTTTTACGACAGGTAAATAGAAACCTGGTGCTACTGTATAGGATTCTCATTCCATTTCCTCCCTGGATTTCAAGCCATGCAATGACACACGCTGTGCTTGTTTATTGGGTATTTAATTACGAGTCTTAGGCCCAAATGTGAGTATTTAAATTGAAAATGAAATCTTAAAATTCTGTCATCATTTACTCACCATCATGTCTTAAGAAACCTATGTTGTTTAATAAGGACAAAAATGGTGCATCATAATAAATATGGCATACTAGAGTTAGAGTGAAGGGGACCCTTTTCAGCAAATAACATCTTAAAGCCAGCATGAAATAAAAATACATCCTTACTGTAAATGATTCATCCTAGCATGTCTTATGGTGTGGACTCTGGGGGCTGTTTTATATTTAGAAATATTTTTATCTATATCTATTTTTATCTATAACTATATCTTATCCTTAAAGATATAGTGATAGATAAAATATATTATACTATACTGTTATCCTTATAGTTATTGTCATTACAACTTACTACTGTAATTCACAAAATTAACAGAATGCATAGCTGATATAAAATGACTAGTAATTGGATGACTACAACTAAATTCTGAAAAAACAAAGATTCTAATTATTGTACAAAAAACCTCCTCACGTAATAACCTAGAATACTCTCTAACACTTGATGGCTCAAACACTCGTCAGTTAGGAGCCTGGGTGTGCTCTTTGATACCAATCTTTCATTTGAAAAAGTCACGTATCTATTATCTGTAAAACCACATTTTTCCATCTTAAAAATATATCTAAATTACGCCATATGCTCTCATTGACAAATGCGGAACAGTTAGTTCATGCGTTCATGACCTCAAGGCTAGATTAAAGTAATGCTCTACTGGGTGGTTGCCCTGTACACTTAATAAACAAACTACAGCTGGTTCAAAACGCAGCAGCTCGAGTTCTTACCAGAACCAGGAAGCTGGAAAATAACATTATTCAAGAACCGCTATAAAACCAAACCAATCTCTGTTATCTTAAATTATACGTTTATCACTGTAAAGCTGCTTTGAAACAATCTACATTGTTAAATGGAGATGACTTGACTTGACATTGGTGTGAACAGGCATTTAAGTTATCGTTCACCCAAAAATGTACATTTTGTCATCATTTACTCACCCTCTTGCTGTTCCAAACCTGTATGAGTTTCTTTCTTCTGTTGAAGAATGTTAGTAAGTAACCAGATGGTTGTTGGACACTTTTGACTTCCATAGTAAAAAAGAAAATACAATGGAAGCCAATGGGAGTCAGTCAACTGTCTGGTTCTCAACATTCTTCAAAATATCTTCTTTTGTGTTCAAACACAGAAACACAACCATTTTATTTATTTAATATATATTGGTGTGTATTTATTTGTGTATGCAAGTGACTGAGGAATTGTGTGTGTGATTAAGTCCTAAGATTCCTTTTTATACAGTCTTGTGCTGATACGTCTGGAATCTACAGTACGTATTGTGTGGCATCCACACATATGCAGACTCAATATTTCCTTTATTGTCCTCGCTCTATTCGTCAGTTGACCTGTTGGCAGTTACTATGGTTTCGAATTTGTAGGTTATATCTGTGCTGTTTCCATGGTTACAAATATTCGTCTCACACACACACACACACACACACACACACGGGTACATGCTCAGCATCTGGTCTCCAGTGAAAGCTTTTAGCATCATCATACTAATAACCTTTAATGGTCATACCTCTCTCTGTCTCGGTTGAAGTATGTAGGATTTTCTTTACACAAAACTATAGAATAACATAACTCTGGACAATTGCTGGACAATTAATGTTGTTAATAAATCGGGTATTAAGGAAAGATGCAGCTTTATAAAAAACGAACTAAATAAATATGTAAAAATAATTAATTATATTCATATTATGTAATATATTATATACTATATCAAATATATATTATAATCAAGATGCAAAGCAGGACAGATTCAAACTTGTGATTCAAACCACGGCGAAATCCCTGGGATCGCTTTCCAAGCATCCAGGAAGTGACACAGCGGGTGCGTTAGCACGGAGGCTGTCTCCGCTACTGGCACCGTGTATAGGCTGGAACCAATGTTCCCTCTAAGCTGCGTGCGTACGTGGCATCGTTTGTTTGATCTCTCACATTACTCTATAAGCTTCAATGAACAATATCAATGAGAACATATGTTTACGTTTCCAAGAGTGGTTGCTAGGGGTGTTGTGAAGTGATTCATGTTGAGTTTGGGTGAAGCAGTCGTCTCGTCTCATAGCCATGTTTTATCGTCTTTATCTATCAGATGATCTATCACGTGACAGGCATCATTGATGTGCAACGGTTGGCAGTCGTGTGGGTGTTGATACATTCATTAGTCTGACGTCAGAAAGCTGTGGACACATATATAATGAGTTTTGCTGCTTAGTTTCAATGAACGCTCTTTTTGGATTGATGAGGACGTTTTGAGCAAAAGTTACTGCATGTTTCCACAGTATATCAAACACTTTTATCTAATAGAATCAAGGAAAATTGGATTGTCAGAAAAATGACCCCAGTCATTGCTGTTTACAAAGAACTACAGAATTGTTAGAGATGTTTGTTGAATAGAGGATGGTGAGGGAGAGCAATCCACACCAATCAATAGTGATTCAGTTGGTAAGAGGAAACAGTCAAATCTGGGATATTTTCATAGTCAGCTAAATGGAGACAGCTGTGCAGATTTGAACTTGACACCATCACGTTCTAAGACCATCGCAAGCAGTGGCAAGGATATTAATTATATGAGTATGCATATTGTATGTGGTAAACATGATCAGTGTTACTACTACTACTACTACTACTACTTTTAAGTAGCCTTCTATTGTTTTATTTACTTTGCCTGTACAGACATTTAAAATTAAAAAATTATTTTCTGCACAACACTAGTGCATATACGACTTCACTTCATAAATGATGAATTTTGCAACATCGGCACTAATATTGAACTGAAGTGAATAATTACGCTATAGTCTCCAGTAGAGCTGCTTTTAGCTGAATTGAACCAATTTCAGAATTGATGAAGTTTGCACAGTTATTGAACTGAACTGAATCAACACTGAACCAACTCCAGCGAGTAACAACAGTATAGAGCTGCTTTATAGCAGAATTTGAATTCTTATATTTGATGAAGTTTGCATTGTTTGTTATTTTCCTTTTTATCACTGTGAAGCTGCTTTGAAACAATCTGTATTGTATAAAGTGGTCTATAACTAAAGGTGACAAAGTTCAAAATACAGAAAAAATGCAGAAACAAACTGTACAAAACCAGTAATACTGTACTGTGTGTGTGAAAGAGAGAGTCTGTCATGGAAGTTTCCCTATGCCTGTGTTCTGTCTTGCTATTGCTGTCAGAGTAGTGTGTGTGTGTGTGTGCGCATGTTGTTCAGGTAAACCCTTCCTTTGTGGGGACAAAAATATGGCAATATCCAAAATCCTTGTCCTTGTTTGGACATTTGTTGGTCTCCATGAGGAAAGCAGCTTATAAATCATATTAAGTAATGTTTTTTTGAAAATATAAAAGTCCAGAAAGTGTTTATTACGCCTATGGAATGTCTCCTTTAAAACATGAAAACCCAGTGTGTGTGTGTGTGTGTGTGTGTGTGTGAGAGAGAGTGTGTACTTGGCTGTTTGATTGATGTTGAGGGCATATTGGCTGTAATGGGAGCATCAATTTATGAGGTGAGTCATAACAGGACACATCAACCTTTATAATATAGCACACACATACACACATCCTTACAGCTCTGCCCCTAAGCATGCTTAGTGGGAACTACAGTGAATCTCCTGGTTGCGTATGCAATAGGGGATTATCACGCTGATACGTAGCACTTCCGGATTCAGTGATCTTTGTGCACTGCCACATCCGTTGAATTACCGATCTCACTGGCGAACTGATGACAGACTACACTAAGTTTATTTATAGGTCATCCCTGGTAAATTAGTCTGATTCACTAAAGTGCCGGCTGCAAATAAACGTGCTACCTTGTTCCCTATCGAGGGAACTCAACACTGCGTCGATAAAATCGACTCTTTGGGGACGCTCCCTAAGCGTGCGCCTCTGAAGTATGAATGAAACTAATCCAATCCCGATTGGTGTTGCGTCGTGACGTAACATGTGACGGCATACCCGGAAGTATAAAAGTGACGCTGTCACAACACACACTAGCTTTCGCTCTTCAGCAAGCGCTTTATGTTGAAACTGTCTGTCTTATTTGGTGTTGTTTGTCTTATTATTGAAAGAAAGTATGGCCAGTGAACAATTCAAGAGGTGTGTGCATCCCTGCCCTCGTTTCATCACGGGTGGGGACGCACACTCTCTATGTGTGTATTGTTTGGGAGTGCAGCACGCACGGGCAGCTCTCGAGGGGGCTGCTTGTGAAATGTGTGAGGCTTTGCCTATTAGAGTGCTGCGCTCCCGGCTGGCGTGCTTTGACGAGCACGGTCAGGCTCGCGTTCCCCAGGGTTCCGGTCCCGCATATGTCGAGGCGA